TACTGAACTGCACACTAAAAAATGGTTAAAATGGAAACTCATAGTTGCCAGGGGGAAGGGACAGTTAGCGAGTTTGGGATGGTCATGTACACACTGCTATATTTAAAAAGGATAACCAACAAGGACCTACTGTATAGCACATGGAACTCTGCTCAATGATATGTGGCAGCCTGGATGGGAGGGGGTTTGGGAGAGAATGGATGCATGTATATATATGGTGGAGTACCTTAAGCTATTCACCTGAAACTATCACAACATTTTTAATCAACTATATTCCAATACAAAATAAAAAGTTCCAGATAAACAAAATGGTTAAAATTATAAATCTTTTTGTTAGGGACATTTTAATCACAACAACAGCTAAATAACATCATGGCAAATAGATGGGAAAACGATGGAAATTATACCTATGACTAATTCATGTTGACGAATGGCAGAAATAAAACCAATATTGTATAGCTTTTTCAATTAGAAATAAAGAAATTAAAAACAATTGAATGTCAGGAAGGCAGACTAGGGGGGCTTTAAGAGACACAGGGCGTTAAAGGAGTAAGAACACACATCGTTGGGGGAAGGGCAGAGATGGAAGTTGCCTAGTCACTCGGTTGTGTCTGACTCATTGCGACCCCATGGACTATAGCCTGCAAGGCCTCTCAGTCCATTGGATTCTCCAGGTAAGAAGACTGGAGTGGGTTGCCATTTCCTTCTCTGAGAGTGGGAAGTGGGGGACCAGGAAACAAAAACTTCTCAGCACAACTGCTATTCAGAAAGGGCCCTGAAGTACTGATAGAATTGATGTAGGTACCTTATGTAAGTGGAATCATGTATTATTTATTACCTGTCCTTTTGTATCTGGCTTAGATTTCACTTAGCATAATGAAAAGACAGTTTTTATGTCAAATGTATTGCTTATGGGTTTTTATTTTTATTCTTTAATTTTTATTTTATTTTATTTTGCTTATGGGTTTTTAAAATGTGGGCTTCCCTGGTGGCTCAGATGGTAAAGAATTCACCTGCCATGCGGGAGACCCAAGTTTGATCCCTGGGTTGGGAAGATCCTGTAACAAAAATAAAAGGACTATCAGAAGTTGGAAAAACATGTTTGCAACATATATGACAAACAAAGGATGAGTTAATTGAGATGGAGAGTAGAGTGGTGGTTACCAGGGACGAGGGGCAGTGGCGGAGGGATAGAGGGTTAGTGGTGAATGGGTACAGGGTCTCAGTTTGGGAAGATGAAACATTCTGGAGAGGGATGGTGGTGATGATTGCAAACAATGTGAATGCATTTAATGCTACTGAACTGCACACTAAAAAATGGTTAAAATGGAAACTTATAGTTGCCAGGGGGAAGGGACAGTTAGCGAGTTTGGGATGGTCATGTACACACTGCTATATTTAAAAAGGATAACCAACAAGGACCTACTGTATAGCACATGGAACTCTGCTCAATGATATGCGGCAGCCTGGATGGGAGGGGGTTTGGGAGAGAATGGATGCATGTATATATGTGGTGGAGTACCTTAAGCTATTCACCTGAAACTATCACAACATTTTTAATCAACTATATTCCAATACAAAATAAAAAGTTCCAGATAAACAAAATGGTTAAAATTATAAATCTTTTTGTTAGGGACATTTTAATCACAACAACAGCTAAATAACATCATGGCAAATAGATGGGAAAACGATGGAAATGGTGACAGATTTAATTTTTTGGGGCTACAAAATAACTAGAGACAGTGACTGCAGCCATGAAATTAAAAGATGCTTACTCCTTGGAAGAAAAGTTGTGACAAACCTAGACAGCATTTTAAAAAGCAGAGATATTCCTTTGCTGACAAATGTCCATATAGTCAAAGCAATGGTTTTTCTAGTAGTCATGTACAGATGTGAGAGCTGGACAATAAAACAGGCTGAGCACCAAAGAATTGATGCCTTTGAACTGTGGTGCTGGAGAAGACTCTTGAGAGTCTCTTGGACAGTGAGAAGATCAAACCAGTCCATCCTAAAAGAAATCAACCCTGAATATTCATTGGAAGGACTAATGCTGAAGCTGAAGCTTCACTACTTGGGCTACCTGATGTGAAGAGCCGACTCATTGGGAAAGACCCTGATGCTGGGAAAGACTGAAGGCAGGAGAAGGGGATGACAGAGGATGAGACAGTCGGATGGCATCACCGACTCAATGGACATGAGTTTGAGCAAGCTCTGGGAGATGGTGAAGGACAGGGAAGCCTGGTGTGCTGCAGTCCATGGAATCACAAAGAGTTGGACACAACTGAGCAACTGAACAACAATTAAATGTTTCAGTGATTCTGGAATTTATATCTGCTTAGAAAGACTTCCCATACTTGAAGATCATAGAAAAGTTATTTTTTTCCGGAACTATTTTGTCTGTTAGTATGGAGTGGCTGGAGGTGCAACTTTTGGATAGGTGTTTGAGATGAAGAAAATAGGCTTCTTCAACAGTCAGAGGAGGAAGTGACAAGGACCTGAAGTAAGGTGATGAAGAGCCAGGTTCTTCAACTGGGAAAGCAGGATAGGAAGGTTTTGGCTTTCCACAGGATATATGCTTGATGCATGGTAGGTACTTGAATATTTGTTGAATGATGAGGGAAAAGAAAGAGTCAATACAGACAACTCCTGAGGTTTCTAACCCAGGTAGCATTCACAATAGTAATACTAATGTTCATTGAAGGAGGAAGGTTTCTGAGTAGAATAGGATGTGTTCCATTTTGAATATGCTAATATTTTTAGGGGCAATTCAGCCATCTGGGTGAGTTTCAGAAAAGAATCAAAAGCTGGATCTTTTGTGGAAAAAAGTTAAGGAAGACAAATTTGGTTTATAACTTGTCCAATGAAGATGACCGCTGAAGCTATGGGATTATTTGGGAGAATATATGAGTGTCAAGAGAGAATGGATGAGACCTTGAAGGATTTTAGTCCTTCACTGGGATGAAGAGGAGGTATAGCCAGAGCAGCAAATAATTTGCAGGAAAGGCACTTGAAGTGGGTTTGAAGGGAATTCCCTGGTGGTCCAGTGATTAGGAGTCTGCACTTCCACTGCCAGGGATACACATTTGATCCCTGGTCAGTGAACCAAGATCCCACATGCTGAATGGTGAGGCAAAAAAAAAAAAAAAAAGTTAAAGAAATGAGCTTGAAGGAAGGTTTTGGATAACAGCAGATTGGAAGGTGGGGTAGTGGAGGTGGTGAAAGAAGAGTGCCAAGCAGAAATAACAACATGAAGAAATAAGGAGTGTGAAAGAACCCCACTGAATGGTTGAAGAAACCATTCAGCAACCAGATGTTGAATAAATCTGTTGTAGAAGAATTGGAGGCTTCAATGGGTCACTTAACATCGTTACTATAGAAGAGAGGATGACCAAGACAGGTCATTTCCCTCAGGGTTATGGTGACTGTTGCTATTTGGTTGCTTGAGTATGAAGACTCTGAGAACATTTGATCTACTTCACTTAAAGCTCCAGCTGAAGACATCCAGTAAATTTGGAGCATCTCAGGTTTCTAAACATAGTCTGGATCCTCTATCTTAGATTTACTTTGGGTGTTCCAATTTCCCTTGTTTGAAGCATCTTCGTGCCAGATCCCAAACAGAGGATTTTCAGGTGGACTTTCATCATTACTTTTTGTTTGTTGTGTGTTTGAAGTTTTGCTAATTTTCTTAAATGACATATTAGATGAGATCATGTTCCTGGGGAAAGAAGATAATGGTAGCAAAGCTCCCGTCTGTGGCTCAAGTGTCATTCTGCACACAGGTGCTGTAAGAGGGTGGCCAGAAAACAACAAGCCCAGTGTGAGTTCTACTTTCCCCAAAGATCTGACCCCTGATTTCAAAGAGTCACAGTTTGGTTGATATTAAAAAGATACATAGAATTAAAGGAAAAAAACCAGCTTGAAAAAAAATTTCAGAGTTCCATTTTTCATTCTCAGACTGGCAGAGATCTACAAAGTTTGCTAAGTGTTGAGGTAAGGGTGTGGGAAAGCAGGCCCTTGTCTTCACTGCTGGTGGGACAGGTAATTACGATGACCTCTATGTAAGGTTGACTGACAACACTCACCAAATGTTCATATTCTCTGACCCAGGGTATTCTGGTTCAGAGGTTTTTAATTTTTTGACTACTCCATGCAGCATACAGGATCCTAGTTCCCCAACCAGGGATAGAACCCATACCTCCTGCATTGGAAGTGCGGAGTCTTAACCACTGGACTGCCAGGAAGTCTTTGACCCAGGGTATTCCAGACAAGATAATTCACTGCAGCATCATCTGTTGTGGTAAAGATGGCAACAACCTAAACTATCCATCAACAGAGGCTGGTTAAATAATTATGGCATATCTTCACCACAGAATACTTCAGTCATTATTGCTTCTATATGCATAAAAGAGTTCTGAAACTATACACTAGAAACTGGTCACACAGGTAGCCTCTGGGAGGGGATGGGGCTGAGGGCTGAGGAGATAGGGATGGGAAGGACTTTTCATTTGTCTTCTCTACCTGATGAATGTATAACCTACCTCCACCCACCACTCTGAAAGAAGCAAAAAAAAAAAAAAAAAAAAAATCCTGGTGGTAGAGAGTACACAAGTAGTTTTTTTTGTGTGCCTAGTTGCTTCAGTTGTGTCTGACTCCTTGCAACTCCATGGACTGTAGCCCACCGGCTCCTCTGTCCTTGCAGATTCTCCAGGCAAGAATACTGGAGTGGGTTGCCATGCCCTCCTCCAGGGGATCTTTCCAACCCAGGGATTGAACCTGGGTCTCCCATATTGCAGGCAGATTCTTTACCATCTGAGCCACCTAGGAAACTTGAGATAAATCTTAACCTAACAGGACTGAGTTATAACAGGAATCATTTTGAGAAGTTCAAGAGTTGAAGGTCATTTCATCTTTCCCACCCACCTTTTCTCTCAACACAGAACCCAAGGCAAGAAGGGAAGGGTAAGAGCAAGACAGCACAAATGAGCCATGAAGCCAACAACTTGTAGGACAGACATTTTATTGTGACTTGCTTATAGTCAAACATTCAACCCGTCAACCTGCCCTTAGTTAATTGTTTTGCTGGAGACCACAGCCTGATGCCCAAAGGCCCTTAGCCTCATCTTACGTCAGTCTAGTCAATGGTTGCTATTTTACAGGTTCAATTAGTTAGAGGAAAATGTCAGGAAAATCTGGTCTTAACATCTCAAATTAATGGCTGTAAGATTTGCAATCCATTTAATATAAAGTGCTCAAGTTCAGTGCAAAAAGGGCAGACTTAGAAGGGCAAGCAGATGCCAGGGAAGAACGTTTCCTGGGAGACAGATGCATTCTACAACTCAAAGACAAAAATGCCACTTGTCCAACTTCCCCATAAAGGAGTCTAGTATTTTCTTTGCCATTTCTTCCCTCCCTCAGAGGACCAGAACTTCTACAGATGCTCTTAGAATTGCTTAGTTCATTATTTAAAAAACCTTGTTCAGAGGGAGATCCGCAGGGTCTCTAAGCACCAGAGATACTGACTTGGGCTTCTAGCTTCCGTTCCTCTCAGCAGCCCCTGTGAGGTGGACGGGCTGAGCTCTGGCTGGTGGGAGGCTTGCAGCTGTGGAGCTCTTTTCACACCCCTTGTTTGCAAATTCACATCACGGACTAGGGCAGACCTTTTCCAGAAGCTTGCCACATCTCCAGTGGGAAGACAGGCCCACACTAATTAAAGGAGCACTTCATTTGGTTGCTCACCAACTGGACATGACCTTATGTCATCATCCCCTTGTTTAACTCTTGTCCTCAGGCCCAACTTTACAGTGAACCTTTGACTCCCACCGTTAAGACAAAGAAACGCACTGCCTTCTCAATGACCCCGGGTCTCTGCATGTCCACCCTTCTGTCCTGGGAGAAGCAGGTGGAAAGAGGAAGTGATTTTCTAACCAATTTAAGGGGCATAAATAGGACTGTAACTGAAACAGGCAAAGTCTAGCCATTTGGTCCCAGGACCTTGGCTACTGTTTCTCTCCCAGACTCTCCAAGAGGAAGCCATGTTCTCTTACTTGGCAGCAGGAATATTGACAAAAGCCAGTTCTGTGCTTGTAGACAACTCTCCTGCAATGCTGTTTGGAGAGGTTCCCCTTTCTCTCCCTGTGGATGAACATGATGGCACCCCTCCTGCCCGTGTCTGGGGTTCCAGACCCCATCAGGTGTCCAGGCATCCACAGCTTTCAGATGCCAGCACCTGAGGATCCTTCTGTTCAGACTACCTTCCAAAGACTCACAGTAACTCTTGTGCTTATGAGAGGAGAGATGCTTAGAATGGTTTCACACCACAGGAAGCACCTGCCCCAAAGCCATCTCTGCATCTGGGGACGGGAAGGAGGGGAAAACAGGCAAACCTTCTGATGCAGCTCCATCATTCTGTCAAAAAGCCTTGTAGTCATGAGAAGCTTCTGGAACGTCTCCACACCAAGGGGACTGTGTACAAACAGGATGAACCCGGGTTAAGAACCAAAAACGCAGGAAGGTTTTCAGACAGGCAGAAGTCGAAAGTAAAGTGCCTCTTTGCAGTGGGGGAGAGCTTTGTTCAGAAATGCTTGAGCGTAAACATGAGCGTGAAGAGCGTGCACACACACACACACTCACTCTGAGGTAGAAAGAACTGGCCATCTCCAGACAAACACACACAGACCCCACAATTTTACAGAAACATGGCACTTGCGTGAAAGATTTCCTATCTTTGCTCAAGATGGCAGGTCGGCTCCAATTCCAGCTCTTTCGAACCTGGGGTGGAGCCAGGGAAGTCCTGCCCCACAGGAGGAAAGGGCCGGAAGGGTGCCCATCACTCCTGCCCCACAGCTGTCCGGTCCTGCAGCCCAGGGTCACTTCCTGGAGGCCGAACCATGGGCACCCCGGCTGCGGCTGGTCAGAAGCCACTGGGAGCAGATGTCTTGCACCACTGCGTCCCCGCTGCTCTTGGCGGCCTGCTGCACCCGCTCGACTAGGACCGCGGCCCGAGAGTGTTCTTGCTTCACGGCGATCAGGTAGGCGGAACGCAGCTTGCAGCACGTCAGGTAGGCCTGAACCTGGCAATTGGGTGCAAGAAACAGCCGGAAGGAAACCATCACTGACAAGTCACCAAGAAGCAGGGCCGCGTGAAGAGAGACAAGACAGCACTTCTCACCCACCAATAACTATAACTGGGTTCTTGCCTTTTACTACGTTATGGTCACTCTAAATATTCCGGACACTAACCTATTACACTGTATTACTGTACAGTGGAAAAGTTATTATAAATAAGCCAAGAATTTTAAAAAGCAGAAGGCAGGCAGGCAGAGCCTGGCCTCTATTTACTCCCTCCAAGACTCCTCACTCTCCTGGGCTTTCCAGCTTTCGCTGGGCCTCAATGCTGACAAACTGTGGTTTTTGCGGTTATTTGAGTGATTATTTGATTGATGTTTGTCTCCTTGACTAGGAGGGCAGGAAGAGTGTCTGCTTTTTCTAACCATTCCTGGAGCCGAGCACAGGGCCTGGCATGTGGGTATTCCATGAATATGCATGAAGTGAATGAATGAATGAATGAATCAGTCATCATACCTGCCCCCTACAATGGGCACACAGGGCCCCTTTCTCTATTTTCTTTGACCTGCTGAATTAAAAATCTTGGGGAAAGAAGTGCAGATACACAATTAGAAAAAGTCTAATTAAGGGGTGGCCCCAGGTTGACCTTATTTGCTGTTTGCATCAGAGGCAATCTAGTTTCCTGAATTCTGGACACACTCCATCTCATGAGTTCCTAGCGTGAGGGAGATGAGAGCCCCTTCCTTCCCTGTCCTCACCCCACCAGCACCTCCCTGGCTAGGCAGGGCTCCAGGCAAGCGAATGGCAAGGTCCTGGTGAGCTGCCTCAGACCTCCAGGCCAGTAGGTGCCTTTTGCCATGACAGTCCTCCTGGTGGTTGCAGAGGACTCCTCTCTTCGTGTTTCAAAGCTCTACCTTCTTCTCTCATTTCAGTCACTAAAGTCTTCCTTTTCTAAGCTCAATTACAGATAATCTACAGCTGCAAGATGTCTGGCACGTTCTGAGCTCTGGTCCGGTTAATCCATCTGCTGTTCTGGTACGTTTGCTCTCTCCCATACCTTCAGCTCCACTTGCACCAGTGTACATTGAATGGAATATCACCAAGTTGACAGGCAAAGCTCCCTACCAAGAGAAGGGCATTTTTCCAGAAAGTCTGGAATAAAAACTGAATGAAGCTGTTTTATGGCAAGATCTTGTGGCCTTAGATCACTTAAGTGTGTTAGAACAGCAACTGACAGAAGAAAAAACCTGAAGAAGTAACAATGATGGTAGCCAGGGTCCGTCTTTTCCAGGGACAAAGCCTCTGTCCTACTGAGCAGCGGGTTCCCCGAAGGCTTAGAAAAGAACCACACACAGTCTGAGAATCAAGAAACCTGGGTCTCAGGCCTGTCAGGTTCTCATTCTGATTCCAGAAAAAGAATTTTTCACATTTTGGGATGTCAGAATTCCATCCTTTTCATAAGATTGCATCAGGATCTCGCAGAATTAGATGAAGAAATGTTAAGAACAGATCCTCCCTAAACCCCCAAATGAAACATGCCCTGGAAATTCAGTTCAGGAAACAGCAATACCGCCATGGGGAGCAGCAACAGGGTAGTGTAAGAAGTTGTTTGCTAACACGAGTTTTCTTCACGAGGGACTCAGATGATTCCACTGCTAGTGGCCAGGGCAGGCTGGCTGGGTTTTCTCATACCTCTCTTGGCCTGCAGGCCTTCCCCTGAACGGCAGGTGGATCGAGCCTGTGGTGAGCCACAAACTGGAGCAGCTGGGAATACTTTTATTCTGCCTGGCACCCTCAGCGAGGATCACCCATTTCCTACGCAATGGGAAGCAGGCACGGGCCTCAGGGGAAAGGCCCGTTCTGGAGACTGAGGAACTAACAGGCATTGCTGGTCAAAGGGTTGGCTGGGTTTTTTCCCTACCAGAGAGGGTACCCTCGCTCCTTTAGGATAGAGAGATGCCTGTTTACTCTGAGAACCTTTTCAGTGAGACAATCTGCAAGTGAGGATTTCCTAGGGATGGGAGAGAAAACCTCCGTGGAAAATGGGGAGAGTGGAAAGGCCTGTGTGTCTTGGGGGTACAGAAGAGAGAGGGCCAAGGCTCATGTGGTCAGGGTCTCATGTTCTCTACATGTTCCCTCTTTCTTCTATGCCCTTATCTGGGTCCCAGCCCCACCTCTGATAATAAAGATGGCGAGACAGGGGTTGAATGGAACTGTCGTAGCAAGTGAGGGGTGAAGGTGCCAAGGCAGGTCCAAAGGGCTGTTCCCGCGCATCACTGGGTGTGGAGACAACTCTGCTCACCTTGTTGTCATCACTGTGTATCGCCTGGATCAGGCCCTCCAGCTCCTGTGCGGGACAGAGACACAGCAGTCGTGAGGCAGAGGGGGCAACAGAGGGGGCCCCCGGCATGGGAGCCGGGGCTCAACTCCATCTCAGCCAAGCCCTTCTGACTCTGGGTGGGGATGCCTGCCTGACCCTTCCTTATAAACAACTCCTGGGAAATCCCTGGTGGTCCAGTGGTTAGGACTCGGTGCTTTCACTGCCGAGGGCCCGGGTTCAGTCCCCGGTTGGGGAAATGAGATCCCAAAAGCCTCGTGGAGTGGTGCCCTGCAGTAGGTAGCAGCGGCATCCAGCTGGAAGTCCTAGAACAGAACACAGGATGATAAGGGGAGGGAGGCAGGGACTCCACAGCCGGGGGAAGGAAGGTGACATTTACAGAGCTCCAAACGGGCTTGGGGCAGACATGCCAAATTGACTGCAGACCCAGGAGAAAACATACGTAAGCAGACAACCGGCAGAAAGTTCCTCTTTTGGAGTTCGGCAGATATTTGGGAAGCAAGCATGAAAACTGGGACTTTGAGATCTATGTTGGTACATTTCACTTGCTGCCATGTCACCGCCTGAAGATATTCTAATCAAATGCCCAAGACCAGTTCATTCTCCCTCTAACGAGTCAACCTTCTCTTGGAAAATGGATATCGGGGGCTGACACTGGCTTCCCAGGACACCAGGTGCTCTGTGAAGAGAGGCTGTGGTGTTAGGAGACAGACCAGTTCACCAAAAGACTGATGATCTAGAAACTACCGGATAAACACTCTGTTGCCTTTGGGTCTGAAAGGAGCTGTCACTCCACTTGCCTATGGGGGTATCTGTGTATGGAGAGCTTTGTCCAACACAGAAAACAGGTGGGAAGAAAAGAGATCTTTCAGATTGGATTGCTTGCTGTCTTTGATCCTTGAGACGTGCACAGTGTTAATTAAGACCCTGCCTGCCTGGAGAGTGAGGGGCCTCTGGGTGCCTCTGTGTCACGGTGCAGTAGGGGTGGTCTGGCTTCTCATGGTCTCAGCGCCCTGCTCCATCCTCTATCCAGTGCCACAGCTGTACCTGGGTCCTCTTATCACAGCAACAAGAAATGTACGCCTCGAGCCGGCTCGTGGGCAGCTGAAGGATGGAGGGGCGGCTCTTGCTGCCAGGGAGCCCCTCCCATTGAATAGGACCACTCTTCCCCCCATCATCTCCTCCAGCCATGCTCCCCTGCGAGGAGGACAGCTGTGGTGAACTGTCCTAGACCCGGTTTCAGGTATTTATTTGACAGTTTTGATGAACTTGTCACCAGTTGCTTGGCTTTTGTCAAAGTGGCCTTTGGTCTCGAACTTGACCCAGTTTTGTAATAGCCACCTCGTTGCTTTCATCCTTGATGTAGTATAAATCTGCTTTTCTCGGGATAAAAATTTTCTGAGGAATAATCTCTCACAGAAATGTGCTCATGTGCTGATCCCTGCTCATATAATCCTAAGTAATCCGGTCATACCTGCAGAACACGGAATGCAATTCCAAAACCATCTTCTACATTTTTCCCTCCTAGCATGACCTGAAAAGGAGAGGGAAACATGCTTACGGAAGCAATAATGACTGGAGCAGCCCCTCAGTCAAGAACAAGACCCTCGTTCATTCATTTATTCCAACAAATATCCGTGAAGGCTCTACTGAGCACAGGCACAAGGGATACGAATGGACTCGAGCCACAGCGTTCTGGGGCTCACATTCCATTGAGGAAGCAACCATCAAACAAACGACTGAAATAATCAGACAATGCCAAGTGTGATGAGCATTCTGAAAGAGAACGGCCTGCCAGGGGTCCGAGTCATCAGGCATACCTTGCAGGCAACATCCATTTTCATGTGGTTATTTCCAAACAGGGTTGGCAGAGGCGAGGCAGTGACTTGGGAGGTCCCGGCACTTTCGCAGCGATGCAAGAACCTGGTCACTTCCATCTGCAGCTGAAGGGTGTTCATGTGTCTGTGGGGACAGGCGACGCACAGTCTAGCCTCAGGAGGGAACTTGTGGGTAACAAGGACCAGGGGGGACTGAGAAGTCATAACAGGATGGCAATGGAAAGGGCAAGAGAAATGGGTGTGGAGGCAAGAGATCCAAAATGCCTTCTGAGAAGTTACGACAGGACAAAAATGGGTGACGAGTGTTTACAGAGCATGGTATGCTGCTAACAACAACAGAGGTTGAGACAGACGTGAACGCTGCCCTGAGGCTAGAGGAGAGGTGGGTAAGGAACAAGCACATCAAGGCATCTAGTGATTGGGACTGTGAAGGAAAAAATGGTGGCAGTGAGCATTCACTTCAGATGTTGTGTTCTCAGCATAAAGCTGAGAGAAGGGAAGGACTCAGGGTGCCGAGGAGCCGGTGTGCCTGACGCACCACAAGGGAGAATACTGAGATGTAAGCTGGAGATGAAGGATCACCCAGGACCTCTTCTGCCTCTTGCGCAGGGTAGGGGTTTAGCCTGATTGTCACCAGTGAGCCTAATCTCTGCCCCTCCCCCAGTCTCCTTTCCTCCAGGCTCCTCTGGAGACTTTTGAGACTTAACACCAGACACAATCATCCATGAATGACTTCTATTAGGTGTATATGTTTGTTTCCCACGAGTTCAGAGATGGGCGAGAGTGGCTTCGTCACCAACAGTCCCCTGGGTTCCAGCCCTTCTGCACCGCCCCAACTGTTCCCTGAATCCCGAGCTACCTTGACACATCGGACGCCGTCATCTTCTTTCGGAAGAAGGTGGTTTTCTTCCTTCCGCTACGCCGGGAGGTTTCTTGGAGGTAGATCTTCAGGTGGTCCTTGGCTTTCAGCAGCCAGGAGAGCTTCTCTCCCAGCTCCGTGTACGTCTTTGCTTTGTGAGTGAAGAACCGGATACAGGTCATGGCGGCCCGCACGTGGTCCTGGAAGAGGAAAATGAATGTTCTGGTCAAAGGAGATTTGGAGGGTGGGGACGTGGGGAGAGTTCTGATCTGAATTCCACCGGGGATGTCTGGTTGCCAGCACCCCTCCCCTCAGAGGCCCAAGAGATCCGAAAGTGAACTGACTGGCTGGGTTCTTGTCAGGTGTTTCTGCAGCCTTGTGGGCTGTGCTTGGGCTCACCTGTGTCCAACTCTTTGTGACCCCATGGACTGTAGCCTGCCAGGCTCCTCCATCCATGGGATTCTCCAGGCAAGAGTACTGGAGTGGGTTACCATTTCCTCCTCCAGGGGATCTTCCCACCCCAGGGATTGAACCTGCGTCTCCCGTGTCTCTTGCATTGCAGGAGGATTCTTTACCCACTGAGCCATGGGGTAAGCAGCTGGCAGGACTCTTGGGTGGGACATTATTCCTCCACAAAAGAGATCTTTAAAAAGGAGATTTAGGATACTCCATTTGACTTGCCATCACTTTCACTCTGGCTCTGAATCATTCAATGTCTCACAGACTAGAAGAATCCTGATCCTTCTGGTTTCATTTATATGCTCTAAAAATACTTCTCCACCCTTCCTTATGAATTAATTCTGTATTCACGCCCCGTGTTTATCTAGAAACTATCATATCCCTCTTCTTTTTAATGTTTATATTTCCTGAATTCTGACAAAATTAAAGTTTGCCTCTTTGGGATGAGAATGGAAATCCTGATATTATATAAGAATGCCTCAGAGCAACATGGATTTGTTGTTGCTGAGTCAAGGAGCAAGGCTAGGGGCCAAGGGACAGTCTTGTCCCCTCATCCCGTGCAGACCCACCTCACGGCAAGGCTGTGGGGACAGAGGCGGCAGGCAGGATGGGGCTGTTGTTACCTTCATAAACTGCTGCAACTCATACAGGATGTGGTAGTAGTTCTTCTTCTGTAAATGCTGGCAGGCGGCAATCAAGTACTTTCCCCAGCTTTCCAAGGATGAGTCAATAGATTCTAGAAGGTTTTCTAAATCGTGTAGCTTCCCACTTTTATAGCTTGGCTGGAAAATGCCTTCTATGAAGACTTCTGGGGGACTCTCCTGGAGCAGGGCAAAGCAACAAGTCAGAAGTCTGCAGCCTGGTTCTGGCACTGCTTGGGACCCATTCTGAGTTTCCTTCCACTCACATCCCTCAGCATTCTCCTACAGTCATGCTACTTAACCTTTTTTGTGCATCACAGATGGATCCCTTTGAGGATCCCACTCCAGTGACTGCTTCTCCCCTTCTCTGTACAGTCGAGCTCCTTGATGGAGTTATCTACACTCCCTGTCTCCAATTCCTCTCCTGTGATTGTCTCTTGAACTCCCTCTCATCCAGCTTTTATATCTAAAACTCCACTGCACCTGTCCCTGAGGTCACTGAAGACCTCTACTTTTGTTAAATTTAAAATTCTTAAGTCCTTATTTTCTACCTATCCTGTCAACAGCTGCTGATAGCTGGTGGCTTGCTCCTTGAAAAACTGTCTTTGTCTCCCAGGATACCACCCCTGCCAGGTTTTCATTCTATTTCTCTGGCTAGTCCTTCTCTATCTCTTTTGTTGATTCCTCCTAAGCCCTGAGGAGCTTAGGAGGATCCTCTTCTCTTTTTTATTACTCACTCTTTTGATTTCATAAGTCTCAGGGCTTTAAATCTAGCTATTTGCTGATTATGTCTAAATCTCTATTTCTAGCCTGTTTACCTCCTGCCTCTTTTTTGACTAATGTCAATTGACCCAAGTGATCTTGTTAAAACATAAGTTAGATCATGTTATTTCTCTGCTCAAAATCTTCCAAAGGTTTTCCTTCTCGCGCAGCAAAAGCCCAGGTCCTTATAACATCTGCGAGGCCCGATATGATCTGGGCCCCATTAGGTTTCTGACCTTACCTGCTCTCACCCTTTCCCCAGTTCACTCTGCTTAAGCCTCCCTGGCCTTTGCCTTGTGACTCCCTCCACCCAGACTGTGCTTCTCCCACAATCTGCATGGTTCATCCCCCACCTTCTTCAGGCCTTCACTCAGATGTCACCTGTCCAGACGTCTGTCTATAATTGTACAATTTGCCTCTTTCCTCTCCCCTACCTTATTCTTATTACTTGTCACCTACACTATATATTTTATTTATCTTGTTTATTGTCTCTCTCCCTAGTATAATGTAAGTTTTATAAAAGTAGCTTTTTTTGGTTTGCCTTTCTTTTTCTTCACTGTTGTACTTCTGGTGTCTAGAATAGTCCTCGGCTATTTAATAACTATTTTTTGGGTGAATGAATGAATGATAAATATCATGGATCTCATCAGGAAAGTGTACACACACACTAATCTACTCAATTCTGAAGTTCATCTGTGGTTTAGAGACCCTGAATCATACCCCCCATTGCATAGTCATAGAAAAGAAAATCATTTGGCCCTTAGACTTTAGATTATGAGTAAGTGATGGGAAGTGAAGGATAGCTATAAACTCATGGCAGTACAACCATGCTGGCCTTGAAGCACTGGGCACAGCTGTTTAGAAGTGGAGAGGATCTGGGCTTTAGAACATGCACAGTGGGTGAGGAGCTTCTTTCCCAATTTTGGCTCTTCCTGAAAACTCAAACCTAACCTAAAAGTTGTAGGACACACTTTAAGAAGTAGGGAGATCAGCTGCACTGGAAAGGTGGAATATCTCAGAAAAGCAACCCCATAAGAACTTTCATTTCATCCACTCATTCATTCATAACTGGCACTAGGACAGGTGCCTGAAGATAGCAGGTAAGGTAAGTAAGGGCCTTCTCGGTCCAGACGGGAAGACACAATTGTAGAAATAGCTGCAATCCACTGGGATAAAAGCTGTAAGAAACCTAGATTCTAGGCACAAAGGTGGTATATAGGAAGAGGTCAATGCTCAACAGAGAGGGTCTAGAAGGACAAATAGGAGTTCTCCAAGAAAACAAGGAGGGGCAGGGCATCCTAGGGAGGGGAAACAGCAATGCAGACTCCTGGAGGTAAGAAAGGGCGTGGAAACAATTAGGAAAATTTGAACAATCTGGCAAGTCTGGAATACAGACCATAGATAGGATTTGTGGTGAAAATAAATTGGAGAAATAAGGGGACCTGATCCTATTGTGTTCTGCATTCATGCTGAAGAAAGTGGACTTCGTCTTACAGCCATGGGGATCTACCAAAGGCCTTTTAGAGAGAGGAATCACACGAATTATGAATAACATAAATAACATGTACTATGTTTTAGAAAGCTTGCTAAGGGATGAAAGGCAGGGAATGAGCATCTTCCATGCTTTAGGCATTCAGTTGTAATTTTCACAATGTCTATCTATTTATTTTTTCCTGTTGCTCTCCACCTGCTTGAGAAGGTAAGATAGTCCACTTCAAGGGTAGCTGTGATTACCAGAGACAGAAAGAAGGCTTCTTTCCTAGCTCTGACTAATGTAAAGCAGGGGCAATGCTGTTGTCAGCTTTAACCAAGATAAGTAAATAAGCAGCTTAACTCTCTGGACTGGTCATCAGAAGAAACAGAACTGGGTGAGGTAAAGCAGCTTTATCTCAAAACTCATTTGGAAACTGAGTAAACAGAAACAATTAGTAATTGAAGACCAAATAATATAACTTTTACAATATTCTTGACAACTGGTTAAGACACAGTAGCTAAGGCAGTAGTGAAAACATTTCCCTCTTGCTGTCCTGTGTGTGTATGTGCTCATTCATGTCCGACTCTGTGATCCCATGGACTGTAAACTGCCAGGCTCCTCTGTCCGTGGGATTTTTCAGGCAAGAATACTGGAGTTGGGTTGCCATTTCCTCCTCCAGGGGATCTTCCTGACCCAGAGATCAAACCTGCATCTCCAACATCCTGTAGGGCTGGGGTTACCAGGACTCTGTACTGCTGACTCACTTGGAGACATCCGAGAAGGTATGTCTATTTTTGTAAACTTTCACTGGCTACCATTTTGGATGAGGGCAGCAGACTAAAATTAAAGTAAAACTCTAGTTTCTTTAATTTTATATGAAATTTGGTATGAATCAGTTTTTCCTCAGAAAAACTTCATGGGGCCTTCAGATAAAAAAAAGAGAAGGCCAAAGAGTCATGGTGAAATGGAGTGTTGACTTGGCTTAACAGTGGTTCCAAGGAAATAACGCACTTCAAGGGTGCCTTCACCTCCTCTGAGAGGAGAGCAGAGGACATCACAGGAAGAAAGGAGAGCATATTCTCCTCCTGTGAGATGCCTGGGGCCCAAACTTAGGATCTGTGCCATGGGTGCTTCCTGGTCTTTGTGGTGACATCTCCGAGCGGACGCGCAGCTGGGTCACCGGCAGGATACAGTCCAGAGCAGGTGGGAAGGGTGTGGAAACAGAAGTTAAGCAATTTGCCCAAGGTCACACCACTCATACCAAGCATCTCATTCCAGGGCCCACATTCTCAGCTATTATTTAGTTCTGCTGTATGTTCTGGGAGAAGGGATGAAATTTGTCATTGCCAGTGAGAAGGGCAATCTGAGATCCAAGTTAAGACTTTTGCATGCTCATCAAAACATGATTTGTATAGAGAGAATTTGCCATTTGTGGTTTTTTTTTTTTTGGTCATGCCACACAACTCACAGGATCCTAGTTCCTTGACCAGGGATTGAACCTGGGTCCTCAGCAGTGAAAGTGCAGAGTCCCAACCACTGGACCAACAGGGAAATCCCTAGAATTTGCCATCTGGACTTGACTCTGCCCAAGATGATCCTACAGCTGAACCCTGGGGTAAGGTTAAGGGGGGTTATCGCCCCCCCCTGAAAGCTGGGTAGGCCAAGTCAGGTGGGCAAGGCAGGTACAGCGAGAGCCGTGTCTGTGGGTCCCACCTTGTGGAGCAGGTGCAGCAGGGCTTCCCGCAGGCAGCTGTGCCTCACATAGAAGCTGATGATGGCCAGGTGGGTGCTGTAGTTATGCAGGTAGAAGAGGCATTCTTGGTAGTAGGTGTTGTTCAGGATCTTCCCTTCAGGAATCACCTCCAGAGAGAGGCTCTGGGTCCGGAGGGTTGCTTCCAGCTCTTTCAAGGTGGCCAAGAAATCATCATCTTGCTGCCAAGAGAGGACAGAGTGAGAGGGACCAAGGGGCCCAGAGAGTTCTCAGCAGCCTCTGGAAACAATGCTTTCAAAAAACGCTTAACAATATGGAAAAATGCTCTTTCGTATAGTTTGAAGGGTACAAAACAGGCAGGATATAAAATTCTATACATTAAACCGTATGCCATGCCATGCTAAGTCACTTTGGTCATATCTGACTCTTTGCGACCCTGTGGACTGTAGCCCACCAGACTCCTCTGTTCATGGGGATTCTGCAGGCAAGAATACTGGAGTGGCTTGCCGTGCCCTCCTCCAGGGGATCTTCCTGACCCAGGGATTGAACCCGCATCTCCTGCATTGGCAGGCAGGTTCTTTACCACTAGTGCCACCTGTAGAACCCTATATACTGTACAGCAGCAATTTAATTCAAAAACACAACAAAGAAAAGTCACCAAAATCTAAATACAGCTTAAGTCTGGATATGGGATTATATGTGATTTTCATGTCTTTAAAATAATTTTTTTATTTTTTTGTTGTTGGATATTTGACTCTTTATGACTTATCTAATCACATAGATGGTGAGGGACAGGGAAGCCTGGCATGCAGCAGGTCTATGGGTCACAAAGAGTAGGACAGGACTAGGCAACTTTCTTGGAAAAGCAACCACATATACTGGAAAGAAGGAAATCCAAACTGGACAGCTCTGGGCCAGGGCTGTACTGTCAGTGGGACGGAAGCAGATCGTCTCCCCAGGCTGTCACTGCTCTGGGGCCTCGCTGCCCCCCTGAGCCCAGCCTCTGCCTGCTGTACTCTTACCACAGATAGGAGTGGCCTCGCTGTGGACTCCAGGTACTCGACCACCTCCTGTACCAGCCTTGAGCCATGATTCAGCTGATTGAGGTCGAGGGGGGGCTTCAGGCAGCGGCTGAACTTCTCCCGTGCGGCAGTGAGGTTCCCAGCTTTGAGGCAGGCCATGCCCCAAGCGTGCCATGCCCCGGTAGTATCAAGGCCAGTCTTTGTGGAGACCTGGAGGAAAAACTGCTCTTTTTAGGGAAAATGACTTGCAGCCAGGCCTGAGGGTCCCAAAGACTGATTCTATCCCCTTGTTGCCAATCATCTCCTTCACCCCACCCCACCCCACCTGCCATGACTCCCACACTGGCAAACTGGTCATGCCCTAGACACTCTCCGTGGCCAAGGAAAAGTGGAGGAAGTAACTTGTTGGGGCAGACATCAGCTCTGTGCCTCACCTCAACACCCAGTTGGTAGTACTCAGCTTCCAAGAGCTGGTTCCTGAGCCTGGTTACCGCAGCCGGTTGCAAGATCTGATCCAGAGATGGCACGTGGCGATAAGCAGCAGCAACTAAAATATTCAGCACATCGACCTTGCTGATGTAGCTACCAGGAGGAAAAAGGGCATGGCAGTGAGGCTCCCCAGGGTCCTCCCAGGGACAGGTGCTGCTTAAAGGTTTCCTATTTTATTTTATTTTATTTTTTTTTAATTTTTATTAGTTGGAGGCTAATTACTTTACATCATTACAGTAGTTTTTGTTATACATTGATACCTATTTTATTTTTAATGTGAAATGGGATCATGAGAATTGGGAGGTACATGGGCGAACAGGCTCTGGAGTCAGACTTTCTGATTCTCAACTCTATCGCTTGGTGGCTCTATGATCTTGGGCAAGTTAGTTAACCTTTCTCTGCCTCAATGTACTCATCTGTGAAATGGATATAACAACAGAAGTTTTAAGGATAAAATGAAATAACTGAAGGAAAGGAGCTTAGGATGGTATCTGGAGCTTTGCAGTGGATTGCAGTAGATGTAGTTAGTTATCAGTCATGTCCAACTCTTTGTGACCCCATGGACTGTAGCCTGCCAGGTTTCTCTGTCCATGGAATTCTCTAGGCAAGAATACTGTAGTGGGTTGCCATTTCCTTCTCCAGGGGATCTTCCCAACCCAGGGATCGAACCCATGTTTCCAGCACTGCAGGCAGATGCTTTACCATCTGAGCCACCAGGGAAGCCCTCCAGGGAAGCTTTCAGGAACTCATTAAATGTTAGCTATCAATACGTGGTGTAGGGACGTTCTGGAACACTCAGGTCTATTTGAGCCAAGGCCTCTACATTGAATGTTAGCAGCTCACAGGCTACCCGTTGCTTTTCGGTTCTCTGGAAGTCTATTTGGGAGAGCGCATACAGATTGTATCACGGTCTGCATCTCCAGTCAGTATGGAGGTCACAGCACTACCATCCTCTGGAGTGCTGCTGGGAAGGGGCCTCCTGGCTCTTCACTTGGATTCTAGTGCCCTGAACTTGACATCCTCTATCTGGGTCAAGGGTGGATACTGTTACTAGGGCTGCTGCCTCTGATCTTACTCCTGCTATCTGGTGATTGCAAAACCTTTTAAAGACAGACTCTAGAAAGCTGTCTGGGATCATTCTGTGTGGCCCCACCTGCCACAGGCCTACACTCAAGGTTCTTGGCTCTTGTATCAGATTCTATCAAAACCCCTCCATGGATCCTGACTTGTCTACTGATTTCCCTGGAAAGGGATTCAGCACATGAGTGAGTCTCAACTAGTGGGGGTAGGGCAGGGGATGGTATAGTGTATAAAAGAAAGCTTGGTATCATCATGTATTGGATATGTGTAATAGGTGGTTTGAGCTTTTGTTTTTAAACATTATTTGTCTACAGACTCTTGAGTGTCCCTTGGACTGCAAGATCAAACCAGTCAATCCTAAAGGAAATCAATAGTCATTGGAAAGACTGAAGCTGAAGCTCCAATACTTTGGCCACCTGATTCGAAGAGCTGATTCACTGGAAAAGACCCTGGTGCTGGGAAAGACTGAGGGCAGGAGGAGAAGGGATGACAGAAGATAAGATGGTTGGATGGCATCATCAACTCAATGGACAGGAGTCTGAACAAACTCCGGGAGATAGTGAAGGACAAGGAAGTCTAGCGTGCTGCAGTCCATGGGGTTGCAAAAAGTTGGACGCAAATTAGCAACTGAACAACAATTTGTATACCGGAAGAAGGTATTTAAAACAGTGGAAAAATACTCTGCAAACCAGGAGTTCTCAATACACGAGATATGAATCTACTGTTGTCAGTAACTGGGCACAAGTGCAGCTAATGTGAGGACTCCAGGGTTGGGCAGAAAGAATGTGTAATTTGAAACTACTGCTGTTACATGTCCAAGAAGCACATGGCAACTGGGGGTGGATGAGAATCCTGCTGAAGCAAAGAGCTCCTTAATTTCTGCTTACTTAGCCCAAAGTGGATATTGCCTCTATCTGTACTGGATTTTGAAGGAAGTTTAGGACTTACTATTAAATTTGTTCTGCCTCCCCACAATCTGAGTATCTTTTTTCTCTTAATAAGATTGTATTTCATTTACATTTCTGATATTTGAGAAATATTCAGACATCTCAAGATTTTTGCCATTAACTCTACCTTTTGCTATATGGAATGGTTTCTGTTCTTTCCTTCTCTTCTCCCCCATTTCTGATAAATTGGTATAGTTTTGGTTCTTCACATGGTTATTTAAAAAACTGTATTTAACATATTATAGTCCTCTTTTTTTGTCAACTTGAAAAATGATATAGAAACCTTTGTCTCTTGATCAAGGAGTAAAATTAACTCCTATACATTTCCTTCCACTTCCTGTCCCACTTCTTTCTGCCTTTCTCAACCTTCAGGTCTTTGTTAATAAGAATAAAACTAACATTTTTGGAGTACACAGGCTCAGTTCTTAGCCCTTTATATGAATATAGCACTCACACTTTATCCTTTTAACAGCCATAGGGAATAAATATCATTATCATCCCCATTTTCCACAGGAGGAAACTGAGGCCCAGAGTCATCTAAAGTTACAGAGCTTTAGGAAGTGGTGAAGCTGAGCGTCAGTGCACTCTCTGTGATCTGGTGAGTGTGCAGGCCGGTACTCTAGGCAAGTGCCTGAAGCACTGACACATCAAAGAAAATTATGCTCTCTTCTCTGAAATCTGGGTAGGACAGAGTGCTGGGAACACACAACAGGAGTCACACATTTGGGTGGGTAAGCTGGGAACTGGGAGTTTTCACTGTCAGGTTAACGGAGGCAGAGCAGGTTGTGCTGGGGCCTGGGGCAGAATCCTCCCTTTTCCATAGAGACTTCTATTTTATGACTCACGTGTCTCCCTGGGATGCAGGGACAGACAAGTCCACAGTGTGCTTCAAAGATCTGTCATCCACAACTCCCTGAGGCCATGGTCTCAATTTGGTCAAGGCTAGGTAGACTTTTGGTTAAGGCTAAGGATACATTTTCCGTGTCTTTTTTTTTAATTTTGGTTGCACTGAGCAGCATGCAGGATCTTAGTTCTCCAACCAGGAATCGAACCTGCACCCTCTGTGGTGGAAGATCGGAGTCTTAACCACTGTACAGCCAGGGAAGTCCCAGGACACATTTTCTTTAAAAGTCAGAAAGTTCCACAGAGACTAAAGGTGTTCCCCTAAATTAATTTTAATTAAAAATTAGCCAGTCTTTCTTTCAGACTGGGTATAGCTAGAGAACCTTCTTTGAGGACCTCTCAGGGAAAGGGAAGAACTGTCACGGGAGGGTGATGAGGACGGCCTGGGGTCTGGTGATGGCATTTGCCAAAGTCAGATGGGATGCCAAAACAGTTCAGCACATCTTGTCAGAAAATGGGGAGGTGAAAACTCACAGTGGGATCAGAAAAAGAAGCTGGATAAACATGTTGTTTAGTCACTAAGTTGGGTCCGACTCTTTGGCGATCCCATGGACTATATAGCCTGCCAGGCTCCTCTGTCCATGGGATTTCCCAGGCTAGAATACTGGAATGGGTTGCCACTTCCTTCTCCAGGGTAAGTTTGACCCAGGGATCGAACTTGCATCTCATGACCACCAGGTAAGAGAACAGGGACTCACTTCCACTTACCTGTCACAAAGGGCCAGGTCCTGGCTCTGGCCTGCCTTGACGAACATCATCTTGGCGCTGAAGAGCAGCTGCTTCATGATGTCCGTGAGCAGCCCCGCATCCACCTCGGGGTTGGTGAGCCCCTGGGACAGCCTGCAGCAGTGCTCGATCAGCTGGTGGCCGCAGGCCACACTGTCCTCGTGCAGATTCAGGATGGCAATGCACAGGGAGGCGCTGGGGGCCTGGCCCGAGTGGAAGAGGAGAGATGCACACGTGAGTTCAGGGGCCAGACCAGGCTGCAGATGTAGCTGGGGAGGCAGGAATTCTACCCATTCTAGGAAGCTTGAAAAACTCAGGAGGAAGAAGCCAGACTCCCACAGAGCAGAAGTGGAACTAAACCCGTTTCAGAAGTTCTAAGTCATACTCTGGCTGCTAGGTTTGTCACCTGACTGGGGAGAAGGCAGCTGTGTCCACATGTTACCTACTTCTTGGCAACGTCCAGAGGGGCCCTTCTTTTCCAGTTTCCTAGGAGTTCAGGTGCTCTTTAATGTTGGTTTGGACAACAGTAGCCTTGCTTGTTTAGCTACCTGGAGAGGTCTCTGCTTCAAGCCACTGGACACAGTGCTGCTAAATTAATATTCCTAAAGCACACTCCATGGCCCCTGACATCTACCAAATACACATATCTCACTGCAGAGTGTAAGGCCCTACACATAAATAGCCCATTTCAACCTTGCCTTTATTAATACCCCATGTTTCCTCCAAATTAAACCACTCCCAACTCCCCAACTATTTTGGACACTGTGTCTTTGCTTGGATGTTCTAGTTTGGAACTCTTTGTCTTTCCCCTATCCTCACTCCCCTCATGACACCCAAACTTCTGCTTGTCAAACTCCTACCGCACTTCCAAAGCTCATCTTAAATGGCACGAAGGCTTTCCTGATTTCCTCTTGTGTATTTCTCAAGCTGTTCCTCATTTTGTGCTTTTAATGGTTTCCTTGCCTTAGGCCCCATGTGATTACACTGTGAGCAAGTGAAGACCAGTCTGTGTTTGTCCAACTCTGCATTTCCTTCTATGTACTACACATCATGTGTGTGTGCGTTTTCAGCTGATCAGTCGCGTCTGACTCTTGGCGACCCCGTGGACTGCAGCCCGCCAGTCTCCTCTGTCCATGGGGATTCTCCAGGCAAGAATACTGGAGTGGGCTGCTATTTCCTTCTCCAGACTACAAATCATAAAGAAACTCAAATCCATTTTATCGCTATTACCTGCTCATAATAAAATTCACTCCGCACCAGCTCATTTTCCTCCTCATTCAGATCCAAAATCCATTCCACCTCTGCTGCTTTGGGAACTCTCACCACAGATGAATACGGAGGGCTTTCACTCTTGGAGCTGTCTGGGGCTGAGAAGACAAATGCCATCTGTGTGTCATTCATTGGCAGCAGCCCAGTTAGCCCAGCCAGTGAGTGGCGTAAGCTGTTGGCAGATCCCTGCTTGCTATCTTAGGGCTCTTTCTTTCCTTTTGGTCCCTTGTATTTCCTTCAGGAGAGCACCTTGGGTACCTCAAACTTTCTTCCCCAGGCACAGACTCGGGATGAGTGTTGCCATATCTGCCATACAACCCTGTTGCTTCATGTGAGAAGCCCTGAAAGGCACATGCCTCCTAAATGGAGGGCTGAGCCACTGGCTGCTCTAAAGACCAACCTGCCCAAACTACCAATAGTGATTATTAAGGGGAGGGAGGGAGCGTTGGGAGGCAGGATGGTGGTCAAGGGGAATCTAGGGGGAAACAAGGAAATAAGCTACTAAAAGTTAAGGACCCAATTCTTTGGCTACTGGCATTCTAGATGCTGGAAGCTATTGGGCCAGTGTGATAAGTTAATATGATAACAAACCTTAAGGGAAACAGCCTGATAGAAATGCCAAGAATTTTCTTTGGTCACTATTGGACTGAGTCGCCATTGAGGGTGTCAGTTGCAGCAGATACGCTGAAGGAATGGCTCACTTGAGCATAGAAAGGAAAAGTCACAAGGAGGGAGCTCCCTGGCAGTCCAGGGGTTAGGACTCTGCGCTTTTACCTCCAAGGGCTCAGGTTCAGCCTCTGGTTGGGAAACTAAGATCTTGCAAACCTGGCAGCACAGTCAAAAAAAAAAAAAAAAAAAGAAAGTTACAGGGCAGGTGAGCCAGCCTTACCTTCTGGTTGTCCTGGATTCTCCTCTGGTATACTGGAAACAGAGAAAGAAAAGGTGAAATGCCTGTGAAAACTGAATTCTTCCTCCTCCTTGAGCTTGGTATACAGCACTGACATTTACTGTTACCCCACTGAGATTATCAGGGAATCATTCAAAACTCTCCTCTCTCTCTCACCTGTCACAGCCAACCACTTATCATTTCTTGTCCATGCCATCTCCTGAATACCTCTTTAAATATCCTCATCTCTCTCCTCATCCCTGTCTCAGAGACAGTCCTCATCACTCAATGCTATTGCCTCTGCAGTAGCTTCCCAACTGGTCTCCTTGATTCTGCCAATCTATTCTCTACTTTGTAGCTATGGCAAGCTTTCAAAAAATGCATTATGTTATGCTTCTGCTTAAAATTCTTTAATAACTCCTTGGGGTATAAATATTCCACATTTGCAGAGAAAGCTCCTCATGGTCTGGCTGTCTCTGGAGACCATCTCCTACCACCCATGACCTCTGCTCAACCCATAAAAGTCCTATCCACACTGCCACAGGCTTTGATCAAGTTCAGTTGGTGCCACTAACCACTAAAGCCCAATGTCACAGGCCAGAGCCCAAGTCTATCACCAGAGGAGCCTTCTGGTCAACCAATTCCAGCCCATGCTGCTTGGAGCAAGCTCCAAGCCATTGTGCCATCCCTAGGTCCTCTCAGCTCAGCTGCCAGCCCCTGAGTCCATCCAGAGCCTTAGCTCATAACCTACCTATTTACACTTTTCAAAGGACCCGCATTTTCTCCTGTCCCTAACTTTGCAGGTGTTACTCCCACTTTTGGGTACTGTTTTGACTTCTTTTCATCCTCTAGGGAGGCTTAGGCCAAGTGCCACACCCCTAGGAAATCCTCCTGATCACTGAGCTAAGCTGGGTGTGTCTCCATATTGTACTATCAAAGGACTCTGTGGTCTGTGTTTTGGCTGTCTTCCCACTAAATAGGGGCTCCTCAAGGGAAAAGTGATTGCTGAGTGAAAGAATCCTTACTGACTGTTCATTTCAAATCTCAGCAGAAAGATAAACGGGTAATTTCCCTGTCCCCCACAAGGAGGGAGGCAGTGGTATGCCAGGGTCACAGAAACTGTGGTATAAGCAAGGAACATCCTCCTTTCTATCAGGTCAGTAATCACCATGATAAACAATGATAAAAAAGTTCATGTTAAAAGAAACACAAACATGAGTTTGAGATCGATTTAAGTCTGTTCATAAAACACAAAGAAGTCAAAGTAATTTGGCTTTTGGATAGCTGCTTTGGCTCATATTCCCACATGCACTTAGTTTTACCCTCTTTTGCTGCTAGAAGTAGTGGAAAAAACTGAGCAACATTGAGCCGGCAATAAACACTTGACCTGCTTTGCCAGTGGCATGAGCAGTTTCTGAGATTTGTCCCCAGGTGAAGAGTCGTGGATAACAAGCCAGAATGATGAGGTCAATGAGAGCTGATGTAAGTGAGGCCCCAAAATTCAGTAGGTGAGCGTGTTGTTCTGAGTCCAGCTGAGATTGACTGAAGCAAGAGTGGCTGGAAGAGGTGAAGGTGTTGGCAAACAAAGATCAACGGCCTCCATTAGGGGACAGGCCAAAGAACCCAGTGCCCTGATCTCAGAGCATTACGGACGAGCTTGCTCTCTGCTTCTACATACCCCTACTTCCTCTCTCAGATGTCTCTCTGACCAAGGTCAACCATTACACCACAGGCTTAATGGCATTTCAGTGTGAACGTGAAAAGAAAACTTTCTGTAACTGCTCAGATTTGAGATGCGCTCCCTCGTGAGACGCGCAGGTTTGTCAGGACCCTGGGAAGGGGACTGGTCAGCAGCAGCAGTGGCCCCACTGCAGGACACTCACTCTTTGTTGAAGTAGCTATAGCATTGGTCACACACGCGGGTAGGGTTCTCTCGGCAGCCTTCCACTACCATTCTCTTGGTGGAGCAGGAACTGCACACCAGCCGGCCACAGCGGCGACAGTGATGACGCCTGTTGAACTGAGGAGGGTCATTGGAAAGAGAAAGAGGAGTAGGGAAGAGAAAGTGAGATGGCCGGACCTGTGAGCAACCTGTCAATCCATTTATCCTTGGAATGAGCCATCTGTGATTTGCTAAGACTATCAGGTGCTTGGGCCTCTGTTGAGAAAGAAGACACTAATCCTTGCCTTCACAAAGCTGACATTTATAGATCTCTCTCATTTGATGGGCAAAGATGCCCGAGTCATGGACAGTTTTGCAAGAGCTCCTGACAAGCCCTACCTGTCTGTGGAGGAAACGTGTAAAGACAGAATAAAAAGTAGTGGGGAAGAAGTGACTTTTCCAGCCAATGAGGAACACAGTTCTACAAGGTATTGATGATGATGAAAAAGTGTCCTTTTTTCAAGTATTTTACAAATACTGCCTTATTTCATCATAAGAGGTTGATAGACATATTACACCTTTTTTCATAGAAGAGGAGGAAACAAACACAAAGAAATTACACCATCGTCATTCTCCCACGTGCTGAGCTATTATGCCAGTTAGGTACTGTGCTCAGTGTGGTAACATGTGTTACTATAGTTAGTGTTTATGAACCAAGTAATACATCATCCCAGTTTACAAGTACGCATCTGAGATGAAAAGATCAATAGTCACATTGCAAGTAAGAGGTAGGGTTGGGATGAGAAGTGAAGTCCTTTGGCTCCAGCACATAAAACCATTACCAGGTCACCTGTCTTATTGCAAAAGACATGAGAGCTGGAAACGAGATATCCTGATGTTTGGTGACTGCTTCTGCAATACCTCTGCCTCTTTTCATTTATTTCATAAGAAAGGCAGAGATTTAGAATTTAAGGCTACTCAAGGGAGGGTGGGGGGCAGGGTCTACCCTCTATCTGAACTCAGAAAATGCATCCTGGTCAGGTCAAAGATAAACCCAGTGCCTTAGACCTTCTGAACATACCCTCTCCTTTTGGGGACAGGAGTGACTATAAACTCAGGCTCATGAAGGAGAACCTTCATTTCTCCTGCAGGTGAAGCTAGAGACGGATAAGACTTACCATGGTGAAGCGCTCCCTGCAGCAGACCATACAGACATTCTCACTCTCATCTGGGACCCACTGGTGCCTGGCAGGGGGTGTAGCCGGGGGCACAAACTCCAGCGGCAGCTGATTCTGGGGGAAGCTCCTCTCCCTCAGACTTGGGGAATGTACAATGGGGACACCTGGGGGTCAGAGTCAGAAGTCAGAGTAAAAGGTGATCAATGGTCCAGCTGATAAATGACGAAGGGATGAGAGAATTAGAACTGTACCATTTTACAAAGCCTCCTGATATCACAGATCCAATTAATGATCATCAATGGCTGATTGCCAAAAAAGCACTGTGTGGGACTTCCCTGGTGGTCCAGTGGCTAAGACTCTTGGCTCCCAATGCAGGGGCCTCAGTTCAGTTCTTGGTCAGGGAACTGGATTCCACATGCCACAACTAAGACCTGGGCCAGCCAAATATATAAATATGCCATGTTTCTGAACTTGGTGATTTAAAGAAAAAAAGAACATTGTGCATTTCCTGATGGAAGGCACAGGACCACTTATCAAATACACTGGCCAAAAAACATTGAGCCTGAATCAAATCAGGCTTCTAGATCCATATACAGGGTACTGGAAACAAAGGGAACGGAGACCTATATTACCACAGGGTGACAGTCAACAAAATCCAGAGTGTGGGAAGCTCTACGAGACAAGTGAACCAGTTTCCTTTACAAATAAAAAAGAGGTAGAGGGAAAAAGAGGGTACAGAAACCTACTGATTAAGAGAGATTCTTATTAACAGAGAGTTTAGTCAAACACCATGTGTGGACATTATTTACATCCTGATTCTAGAAATACCAATTCTAAAAAAATTCCTCATGAGATTACTGGGGAAATCTGAATATTGACTGGATAGTTTATAATAATAAGGAATCATTAATTTGGTTTTGGCTATGAGAATGATGTTATGGTTTTGTTTTATAAATGTCCTTACCTTTTAGAGGTATACACTGTTTTTTGGGGGCTTTTTTTTGGGCCATGCCATGCAGCTTGTAGGATCTCAGTTCACTGACCAGGGACTGAACCCAAGCCACAGCTATGAAAGCCTTGAACCCTAACCATTAGACCACCAGGGAACTCCTGAGATAGACACTGTTTTGTTTATGAGCAAATGGTATGATAGCTAGGATCTGTTTCAGAATAACCCAGTAGAGGGACAGGGGTACAGATGAAACAAGAATGGTCATACTCAGATGATAAATATTGCAACTGAGTAATAGGTACATGACACTTCATTACACTATTCTTTCTACTTCTGTGTGCTGGAAATTTTCTATAATAAAAAATAAAGAAAAAATTAAGTAAACCAAAGCTGCTCAGGCTGCCTTATGCAGAAAAGCTGCTCATATCCTTGTATACCTGAGTCCTTCTGTCAGGTCTGCTGATTATCCTGAAGCATGGCTCCTTCTCAAAGTTGGGCCACAAAATGCTACTTTGCTTTATGGTATCTAAGGAGATGGATGGTACGGTACCTAGCAGAATGATGTTGGCAGGTCACAGAAAAAGAGAACTGAATACACAGTGACTCTTAGCAGCACCCAGAAGGAGAGGGATTGTTGACCTCTCCCCAGGAGCCTGTTCTCCTGACTGTTGGCAAAACAAACACTTGCTGAGCCTCTTCTGAGCGCAGGCCATTGGGCAAAAGTCAGGAGATTGGAGTGGAGCAGTGGTGAAAAGGGGTGACCGAGAAATGGCAGGAGACTGCAAGGACCTTGCACCCTGTGTGGCTGACAGACATAAATAACTATCTGTAGGACAGGGTCAGAATGAACACAATGACTAAGTAAGTTGATCCTCCTTATTAGTAGATTCCATATTTGTGAAGCTGCCTACTTGTTAAAATTTACCTTTAACTTCAAAATCGGTATTTGCATTGCTTTTGCAGACACCTATAGAGTGGTGAATGATTTGAGTTGCAGGCTTGTTATTATGCAGGTCCTCATCTACGGTTGCATAAGGTCATGTTTTGCTTTCCTATTTCAGCTTTCATACAGAGCAGACCAGAGAATGGAGCCAGCAGAGGACGGTGAGGCAGGGAGTGCAAGAAGCCACTTCTGGGGATGGCTGGAGGGGGTTCGAATCCCAAACGCTCAGTATGCATCCTGGATGCGGTGGCTTCAGGCAAGTCACTTGAACACTCTGAGCCTCTTTTTTTCTTTTGTACAATAAAGAAAATAGAATCTACTGGGATGAACTGTATTCAGCTGAGATTATAATGTATGTGAAATGCGTGTATATATATATATATATACACACATGTATACATACAAGCATACACACACATACAAGCATATTTTCCCTAGAAGCAATGGTTCAGTATCTGCTAACTCATTGTGGAACCTTCATAGATATACTATTGCAAATGATAAGAATCGTTCACATGTTGAGTTTTCTGGGATATACAAAGTTGGAACAACTCAGCAAAACCAATAAGAATGTTGTGACTAGAAATGAAAAAAACAGCAAAAGAATCAGAAAATCAGAGTAAGGCAAGATTGAACTGAAAAAATGGGTAACTCTCAGAACTCATTCTTACCAGGAGCAGCAGCAGAAGAGAACTCGGCTGATGGTGACCTAGACAAGCTCTCGAGGTCTGAAGCCTGACTGACAATCTCCTGGAGGTGAATCACAGAGTCTGCAGGGGAGGAAAATGTTGACAGATCATTCTACCATAAACAAACCTCACTTGTTTTGCTAGGAATTTAGTTCAAAGCCCTGTTGATTTCGCTGTCATCCCATGATTCTACCAGGCATGCAAAGAATGACAGAAAGACTTCTAAGACAGTCATAAGCATGCTTTTCAAATGCCTCAATGAACAAACTATGTTAGGCATGTGAGATAAGTGATGTATAGACACTAGGATTTTACAAAATAAATCTAAAGATGTCCAGAGGGAAGCGGAAGGTATTTAAGTGATGGTCCTGGAGGGTAGGGAGTAATAAAAAAAAAAGCTGGCTGGGAACATTAGCCCTCATTTATTTCATTTTCTTCATTCTATTAGAGACTGAATCAGCTCACATACTAGTGACATCTGATGTGACCCTAGGAATAGTCCTCAAATCAAAATGATGGCACTTAAGAGCCCATTGCACCAAGACTAGACAGACCACTCTCAGCATGCCTTGTTTTCTGAAACTTTATGTTATTATGCACATGGCAGTTATCTACCAACATTTCATTCAGGTTAGCCTGCCACTTCCTCCAAGACTAAGATCTCTCCTATACAAAAGAGCTCTCTCTCCTGAAGCGTATCCTCTCATTCTCTATCAACTCAAAATCATAAAAGAGGAGAAATGAAAACTAAGGATGGAGCAGAGTTATTTCCTTCTCCATGTAGAACCCCCACTGAGCATGCTGGCTGTTACCTGAGCGTTTCTCCCGCAGAGGGTATGGGAAATCCAGGGCTTTTCCCGCATATCTGGAAAGCAGCGAGTCCACCTGGTCCACGGTGAAGCCAATCTCCTGGCTGGCCAGCAGCTGGCGCAGAGTCTGCACGGCCACAGTGGCCCAATCCACTTTCATGTTCATGAGCAGCTGCTCCAGCATGAGCAGGGGGTTAGAGGACAGGTGGGAGTAGCTGGCCCGGTGCTGCTCGGGCAGGGTCAGCAGTACCTGGGAGTGGGGTACACCCCAGTGTGAAGGAAACAAGACATGAATTTCAGAAGAAAGTCAAGATTCTCATGGGGAAGTGGGAAGGGTATCTGGGACCAATGGCCTCTTGGCCAGCTGGCTGGGAGTCTTTTAGAAAGGAAGTAAGGCTGGACTCCTAGCTAAATCCTCCAGTGGCAATCAAGATGAGGGGAACTTTCTCTGGAAAGGTTCAGATAGTAAATATTTCAGACTTTGTAGGCCATAAGGTCTTTGTGGCAACTACTCAACTGGTAAATGAGTGTACGTGCTTGTGTTTCAATAAAACATGATTTACAAAAGCAGGCTGAGGACTGGATTTGGCTTACAGGCGCTGGTCTCCTAACCCCCAGCCTAGACTAACCAGGCATGATTGACCTCTGCCTGATCCTTAAAGTCACCATTCTGTCCTTTTGAGGCTTTGCTAGAATAAGCAATATAAGGTGGACTAAACCTGGTACCTGCAGGGTCCTACAGGTGAATGATGACTCTAAATTCTTCCTAGGGGTTCTTATCACTGGGCTTGAAATATGTTCACTGGCTCTAATCATTGCCCGTCTTCAAAGACTGCACTCTGGCACAGTACATCCAAAAAGAGAAAAACAGGTGTATCCTCTCTAGAATCATTTTACGTGGTTGAACTCTTAGCAAGTAGGTTGGTAGTCATGTTCACGGCTCTGCCAGCACTGGGTCTATTCATGCGGTGCGTTCTACACTCAGGGGACAGTATGACTGCCAATCACAATCATTATCAGAGAGTCAGAAGGCCTTATCTTTTCCTAAATACCACTTTTCCTAAACTCTACTGAAATTAGCTTATAATTTCTTCTACCTAGGTTACACATCAAAGGTAAGGACTTATTATCTCACTGCATAGAAAACTGACCACTTTCCTTTAGCACAGAGTAGTTTTAAGGATTTAAAGCAGCAGTTTTAAATCCTCACATCAGAATCCTTCTGGAAAACAGGCAGGCCCTGTCCCAAAAAGTTCAGTTGTAAATACTCTAGTTTTGAGTTCAACTACTGCTATTTTTAGAAAGTCCAGGTGATTCTAATTCATGGTCAGAATTTAGAAGCCTTTATATAGCAGATGTCAGGCAAAGCATACAGAGAACTTAGGAGGACCGTAAAATTCACTTTGGAGGCAGAGCAGTAGGCAACGCTAAGTTCTAAGGGATATGGTGGGCTATTGGGTCAAGATTTTGTATATCACAGGTCAAGGAAGGCAGATGCCTGGAAAAGCGATTTCTGAAGTGGGAGCTGGACTATCATGCTTTCCTGACAGCCCCTTCTCCTCCTGACCTTGGATCCCATGTACAGTGCCTGGATTTCACGGTGTCGGTCAGCGGTCAGTTCTCCATAGAAGTGGGTGGTGAGGTAGTTGGCCAAGAAATGAGAAGTGGCCAAGCTAGGGTGCTGGTCGAGGGACTGCTCTGTGACCTCAAGGCACATGGTGGGGTCAGGAATTCTTTGTAGAAGCTGTTGCAGGAGGAAGGTAGAGGAGAAAGGTGAGGCCTGTAGAAGAACTCTTAGTCCAGCCTTGTTTTCTTTGAGAATAGAACCTTTCGATTTATTCACTTGGGATTAACCCTTTCTCTGCCCTCATTTTTTTTTTTCCCAGCACCCCTTAGCTTTACAAATGATGACTTTGGCAGGACCAGAGATCAGCAGGATCTTGGGCCCAGCTGCCCACCTGGCACCTAATGTAGGGTTGGCACTTACAGGCAGGGTGACTATTAACCAGCTAATGCAGGAGCAGATCTGAGACTGTGAGTGCTCTGAATGGGATCCAGTAGGAACAGAGCCATCCGATTCGACCAACCATCATATCCCTCCCCAGAGAAAACTGGGAAGAGTTGGAAGCTTACCTGCAGAGCCTTTTCATGATCACCTCTTTCTAGAAGGTGGAGGAGATGCTTCTGATGTAGGTTGACTAAATGTTCTCTTGGAAGAGGGTAGAGGCAGCCCCACTCCTCACACAACTCATACTCCTGGAAGGAAACACACATGCCTTCAACCCCTTTAAAATCCTGGCCTTTCAGTGCACTTAAGTAAGTGCTTAATAAATGCTTAATGTAAAAAAAAAAAAAATCCTGGCCTTGTCATTCATTCAACTCTTGCCTGGTTTTTCTCAGCAGTCCCGAATCTGCCAAAGCCCTAGGACAGTTTGGGAAGTGTTGATGGGAACTTCATTGTGAGATTAAAGTGGGATCATAAAGGACCAGAATTGGCAAGGTAAGTTCTGAAAATGGTGCAAGTAGGCAGCTAAAGATGTCCTTTTCCTCTTAGCTCTCCTATAAGAAAGAAACAGATGACACACAGCCACTAACACTTGGTCAGTGCTGGGAAGACACTGAGGAAGTGGGTAAGGCTGACAGGACTGTCAAAGGAGACAAAGCCTACTCAACTCTGACTGTTGCCATATGACTGTGCAGGCCCAGTGCTGCCAGAGTTTAAAAATTTTCAAAAAAATTTTTTAGGGCTTCCTTGGTGGTCCAGTGGCTAAGACTCCACACTTTCACTGCAGGGGACATGGGTTCAATTCCTGGTCAGAGAACTAAGATATCTCTCACATGCTTTGTGGCATGGCCAGAGAAAAAAATTACAAAAACATTTTTTTTTAATTGAAAAATCCCCCTATTTTCCAATGCTGGCAATGAAATCAATATGAAAAGCTAAAAATTCTGTAGACTACTATTGCACAGGTCAATAAACATGCTGGTATTGGATTCCATGGATATCAACCCTTGTTACTCCCCGCATCCCCACGTCCAATTTGGGAACTCTGGATTAAAGTTTCAGAGAGTGGAATTCTCAGAGCTACATCCGAGTATTCTATGGTGGCATCTGGAAGGCTCTCCCCACAACTCTGCCTGGGGCCACCTTCTTCAGGATGTTCCCTTGTCTCTCAGGCTACATTAGATGCCCTGCCTGTGCCACCACCACAGTCTGGGCTTGCCTCTGTCACTTGGAATATCACAATCACCTAGGGATATGGCTCACATTTCCCCTCACCCTTGCCCCGCCCACCCCTTCCCAAAATAATGAGTTGCACAAAGGCAAAGGCTAAGCTTAATGACCTTTGTTTCACCACTATCTAGCACTGGATGAGTCAGCACCTGAATAAATATATCTATATTTTGACCTATGATATATATCAGCTTCTCAAAGGGTAAAAAAAAATTTACTCAGCACTCAATGTCCAACAATCACATGGAAAGGTAGTTAAGGTCATTAGTAATCATGGCAACGTAAATTAAAACAATGATGTGATACCACCTTATTGGCAAAAAGCAAAAAGCTAGATGATGCCAAAATTGCCAAGAAGATGGAGCAATAGGGACTGTGAGTAGGAGAATAACTAGGCCAGAACAACGTGGTAACATCTTAGTAAAGGTGAGGATGCTTATGCCTCATGATGCAGCAGTTCCACGCTGGGAATGTATTCTGTCCTCACTGTGAACAGTGTAGGAAATCTCCTCTATGAAAACAAGGGTGATAGTTCAAAAGCGTTAATTGTCTTAGTCCTTACACTTCTCTGAATGTTGGTAAGTTTCACATGCATAAAAAAGAGAAAAAAGAGTGTTACATAATTATAGAAAAAAAATGTGAACCTTGACATATGGAAAGGAGTCTACTTAACTGGTTAAGGAGGGGTAAATCTAGAAAGAGGAGGAAGGAGAATAGTACCCAGGAAAATGGTACCTTGGCTTCCAGAATCAGGTTCATGACAGTCGAAGGGTCCTCAGCACAACAGTTTCTCAGGGCCTGCCAGTCACACCACATGGGGGTAGACTGCAAACCTAGAATCTAAGGAAAGATAAGAAAAGCTATCAAACCACACTAGTTTCTCTGTCGGGGAACAAGTCACTGGAGTTTCCAGGGATGGGCCATCCCCAGGTCTCTGTACCAAACTTGCCAGGAGAGAGAGGGAATAAGAACTAATGGGGCAGAGTGTTTGCAAAGATGAGTCAATCGATCTGGCAAGTATAACCAGGGAGCCAAGGCTGAGTGGGGAGGCCACAACTATAGGACAGTTCTCAGAGGCTTCTGTCCTTTGTAGTTTGTTCAGTCTTCTGGGGTCACTTGTCCCTTGCTCCTTTACTTCAAAACTCTATCCAGGTTATTCTTCTGGCTTGAATGCTCTGTGGGATCACCCTTCATGCAACATTTTAGCTCAGCATGAAAACTGCTGAGGAAGAGTGGAAAGAAAATCTTTTTCACTTGCCATTTTCACTTTCCCTAGTTGGGCTCTGGACTCTGGTTACCAGTACACTTAGAAAGATTAGCATATGTATACTCGTTATGTAGCTGTACCACGTAAATCTATCTTCCTAAGCCTCTTGATCTCGAATATAACATACATCACAAGGACCTTTCACTTGGAAGGTTGAACTGAAAGTGAAATTTTCACTTTTAGTTATCCCTTTCAAAATGGCTACTGTTAATAGTGAAGAGTTCTCATAAAACATGATCCACTGAAGGAGGAAATGGCAAACCTTGAGGAAATTTTTGCCTTGAGAACCCCATGAACAGCATGAAAAGGCAAAAAGAAGATGAGTCTCCCAGATCAGAAGGTACACAATATGCTACAAGAGAAGAGTGGAGGGCAATTACTAATAGATTCAGAAAGAATGAAGTAGCTGGGCCAAAGTAGAAATGACACTCAATTGTGAATGTGTCTGGTGATGAAAGTAAAGTCCAATGTTGTATACAGCAATACTGCACAGGAACCTGAAATGTTAGGTCCTGAAGCAAGGTAAATTGAACATGATCAAGCAGGAGATGGCATGAGTGAACACTGACATCTTAGGAATCAGCCAACTAAAATGGACGGGAATGTGGGAATTTAATTCAGATGACCATTATGTCTACTACTGTGGGCAACAATTTCTTATAAGAAATGAAGTAGCCCTATAGTCAACAAAAGAATCTGAAATGCAGTACTTGGGTGCAATTTCAAAAATGACAGAATGATCTCGGTTCATTTCCAAGGCAAACCATTCAATATCGTAGTAATCCAAGTCTAAGCCCCAACTGCTAATGCCGAAGAAGCTGAAGTTGACTGGCTCTATGAAGACCTATAAGACCTTCTACAACTAACACCAAAAAAAGGTGTCCTTTTCATCATAGTGGATTGGAATGCAAAAGTAGGAAGGCAAGAGATACCTGGAGGAACAGGCAAGTTTGGCTTTGGAGTACAAAATGAACCTGGACAAAGGCTAACAGAGCTTTGCCAAGAGAACACAGTGGTCTTAGTAAACACCCTTTTCCAACAATGCAAGAGACGACTCTACACATGGACATCACCAAATGGTCAATACCAAAATCAGATTCCTTTCTCTTGATGCCAGGTCCTATACCTTCTGATACACCTGCAGCTCCGCGAGCTTTCTCCGTAGCTCATACTCCAGCCCATCTTGGACAGCTGTGTCTGAAAGGCAGTAGGCCAGGATCTCCAGGCACCACTCCAGAGGCCACCGGTCCACAAACTGCAGCGTTAGCCGACTTCTCAGACATGCATCCTTCACAGCAAACAGGTACTGCCAACCTTCTTTGTCTATAAGACAAAAAGATGTTCAGCAAGCCTGGCACAGGAGCTCAAGAGTCCAGGTTACTTCTTAAGAGAAGGGCTGTGTTCAATTTCACAAAACAGGAGTTGGGAGGATCCTGAAGATACATCTGACCTGAATTAGTTTTTATACTTGGAGCAATTCTATGATGAAGACAGATGCTATATTTTGTTTCTTGTTATGCAGGTGAAATCAAAGTCATGGGACTTTCTGAAGAGAGAGGAGAAGAAAAGAAGAGAGGAGAAAGGAAGGAAAAAAGGGAGAAAGAATGAAAAGAGAGAAGACAGAAGAATAGATGAGGTGCTCCATGGTTTGGCAAGCTGCATACACAGCACCATTTCAGACTCAACTTGTCAGCAGAACTTTCGGTTTTCCCTGTAATTTCCATGTTGCATCCTACATTATGACTTGAAAGTTACTGCAAGCAAACTAGGTTGTTTTTTTTTAACTGTTGTTTTTACTTAGCAGCTCTCTCTCTCTCTCACACTCCTACATCACAGAGCTGAAACACAGACTCCATCCAAGCCATTAAGACCTCAGAGCTGGTCAGTGGATTTCTCCACCTTCTCAAGGAAGGATTTTCTCCTTTCCATAGAGAAGCCAAGGCCCCTATCCACAGCCTGCTCGGCTCTTGCTCCCCCTAGTGGAGGGCTGAAAGTCACCAGTCTCACCCCTGGGTACACATCAGTCTCCTGGGGAGCTTTTAGAGTAGGAGTTGACTAACAGGCATGCGTGTGTGCGTGTGTACAAGCTTTTATAGTAGGAGTTGACTAACATGCCCGTGTGTGTGTGTGTGTACAAGCTTTTATAGTAGGAGTTGACTAACACGCCCGTGTGTGTGTGTGTGTACTAGCTTTTATAGTAGGAGTTGACTAACAGGCGTGTGTGTGTGTGTGTGTGTGTGTGTGTGTGTTTTAAATAATTAAAAAATAATCATTTATTTCCTCTTGAGTGCACTGGGTCTCTGTCCCTGCCCACGCTTTCTCGAGTTGTAGCGAGCAGGGGCAACTTTCTAGTTGCGGTGTGCAGGCTTCTCACTGTGGTGGGCTCTAGGGCACAGCTGACCACCTCAACAGTTGCGGGCTCTGTTGGGCTCCGCCAGCAGGTGGGATCTGCCTGGATTAGGGATCGAACCAGCGCCTCCTGCATTGGCAGGTGAGTTCTTTACCACCAGGGAAGCCCCTGAGGGTCTGTTTTTATAAAGATTTCTTAGAAGCCAGCCACGCTCACTCGTTTATGGTCTATGGCTGATTTCAGGCCATAATGACAGATCTGAGTGTTTGCCCCCAAGCCTGCAGAGCCTACAAAGCCCTTTACAGGAAAACTCTCCTGACTGCGCTTTTATTTTTATTTTTTATTTTTTTAATGAAGAGTACTTTAATTCTTGTCCTTAGGAATTATAACCACTAGCATGATTTGGAAATGAGACTGTACCAAACACCGGCCAGAGAAGAATCGTCCAGTCTACGGCTTCTCTTTCATCTGGTCACTCAGAAATATAATATTATCTGCTATAATTGTTGTTGCTTGTCGTCTCACATTATTTTTATCCGTATATTCACCATAGTCTACTTTCCCTTCCACAAAAATTCGAGACCCCTTTTTCACATACTGATACGCCACATCTCTGAGGCCTGGTCGGAACACTGAAATTCTATGCCATGTTGTCTTTTGACTGACATCACCCATTTGGTAGGTTTCATTTTCCCCTGATCGCCACATCTCATTTGTTGCTAGGGAAAATATTGTGACTGGGTTTTTTCCTTCTACCTGTCTCATGACAGGGTCCTGACCTACTCGACCAAGCAACTGCACACGATTCAGAGACCTTTCGAGAACCAAACTGCTAGCTACTTCAGACTCATGTCTTACAAACTGACGAAGCACCTGTACTACAGGTCTTCGAAACATGGCTTCTACTCTTTTCTTCCAATCTAATCTTTAGTCTTTTCCTGAGGCTCTCCTGACTGCTTTTTTAAAACAGACACTTTCCTGAACCTTATATGGGCTTTTGGAAATGGGGCTCAGATATTTGTAGTCTATAACATTTGCCAACGATTCTGATATGCAGGGTGGAGAATACTGGTTATGAGTGCCTCTCCTAAAGTTTGATGGGCTTAGGTTCTAAGCCCTGCTCCACCACTGACTATCCTGGGCAGTTTCCCACGCTCTGGGCCTGGCTCGCCTCTCAGTATCATCAGACCATGGTGGCACCTTTCTTGAGAGTTCCTGTGAGGATCAGACGCGATGATCCACTCGGTGAACTCTCAATGTTATTACCACTGCTGAAGGAGGAAGACACAGCTTTCTGCTCACCACAAGCCACCGCACAGCTCAAGACCGCATCCTGTATGCTGCTCAAGTCGTCCACATCTTGTCCATACACATTAGTGAGCTGAAGGGCCCGGCGCCAATCTCTAGCCACCAGGGCTTCCTCGAAGGCCTCGGTGAGCACGTCCAGGGCAGTGGGAGAATGGAGGCCCAGGAGGACAGTAGAGAGACTGGCCTGGCCACAGAGACTCGCAGCCAGACTCTGCCCCTGCTCGGAGGACCCTCGGAGGGGTTCCCAGGCAGCCAGGAGGGAGGCTTCCAGCAGAGGAAACTGTTCCAAGAGGCGCTCACACTCCCGGGCTACCTGCTCGGCCGTCAGAGGCACTTCCCTGCGGCCACGAAGCTCCTTCCATGACAAGCTGGGCTTGGTGACCTTTGACCCCCGGGAAGCCCCCAGACAGGCCACGGTAGCCAGCAGCTTTGAGCGGGACTTCAGAAAGGCCAAGGCGGAGGAGGTGAGGGCTGGGGGTGATGAATCCCTCGGGGAGGAAGGGGGCTTTCTCTCCAGTACAGGGTTCTCAGTTGACTTTGGGGAGCTCAATGTGGAAAGTGGGAGGTCATCCAGGCAGTGGGAGGTGTGCAGCTGGGCCAGCGTGCCCAGACGGGTCAGAAAGGCTGACATCTGCTGGCTCTGCCTGGAGGAGCAGAGGGTGAGGGGCTCGCAGCAGCAGTTGACAATGACCTGCGGCACGCTCAGGGTCAGACCCTCTCGGGCCAGGAGGGCTGCCAGCCTGGAGGGAGGGAAGCAGAGGGCATGCAAGGCCTGAGTGCCTGGGCACCATCACTCAATCTCCAAATTTCTTTGTTTAAACGAACAGAAGTAAATGTAGACTCTCTGTTTCCCCCTATTCCCCTCCTCCTTTTAACTCAAAAGGCAGTCTATTAGACCCAATGCCCTGCCCCTTGCTTTTTTACTTAATAACACATCTGGTAGATCTGTCCATATCCATCTACAGAGAGGCCCCTTATTATTTTTTTTTTTAATAGCTACACAGCATTCCATTATGTGGAGGAACCTGAATTTAACTAGCCTCCTATTAGTGGACAATGGCTATGACATACAAAGTTGTGATAAAATGACTTAGTACATATAGCATTTTTCTTAGTATAATAAAGCTTCGGGATTAATTTCCCAATGTGGACTGCCAAAAATGCAGATCGTCATTTTATTTATTTATTTTTTTTTTTTCAGATCATCATTTTAATGGACAATGACAAACTGCTTTCCCACAGGGGCTGTACACAGATTTATATCCCGCTAGTAATCTATGAGAACGCTTGTTTTCCTACAGCCTAGCCAACTAATTATGTTATCAATGTTTTGGGTTTTAGCCTACTCTTAAGTAGAGTCCCCTCTTAATTTTATTTATTTTTTAATTTTTAACCTGATTTTAACCCCTTTATTTAGATGTGGATAGGAAGAAACAAGGCACTCTGCATTTTAATGAAGCCTGCATAAGAGTAACTGCAAACTAATGGAAAAGTTGAAGAAATCCCCCCCTTCCTGTACTGAACCCAAACACAGCCCCACTGAGCCCTTGGTTTCCTTGATGAAACAACTAGGAAGGCCCATGCCTGACTCTCACGGGGTGGCTCCTACCTGTCTGGGGGTACTTGTCGCTCAAGCAGCAGGTGTGACACCAGTTGGGAAGAGCTTTGTTGCAGGAGAACAAAGGGGTTTCCTACCTTGACCTCCACGTGATCTGCAAAAGTAAAGAAAGTGATTTTTGCACCACTGACTGCAACATTCAGAGCCCTATTTTCCAGAATCAACAACAACAAAAATAAGTGTCAAAACTACACGGAAAGTCCTTTCATTGGCATTTTTCTAGGTAAAAGGTATTCCTGACATGATGCTGACCACAGGTTTATCTATGCCTTACCACTGTCCTAGAGACTTCCAACAACAGACACTTCAGTGAACAGCTCTAGCCACAAATAGCGATTTCTGCTCCCTTCCATGTGACTGAAGTGCAGGTAACATTTGCTCTGTGGACTCAAGCGTCTGGCATTTTAAACAGAGACTAAATTCCTCTTCTCAGTTCTCATGTCCACAGTAGATTGAAGATCTGAGAGAGTATTTTTGAGTCATTAATACCGTCAAAACGTACTGAATACTCTCATATGCTGTACTACTGTACGAGGTATTGGGGAGATAAAGGTGACTCAAATGCAGAGGTGTGTAAGAGAGGACCTCATAAATCCAGTGTCCTTGGCTGCTGCTGCCCCTAGAACCACTTCACTGTGTTCCTGCTTCCTTGCCCTAGATACTTGCAGGCATGTCCTGACTATATTTCCTTTTTCCTGCTACTTACCAGGCTCAGAGCCCAGGCTCCGAAGGAAAACGGCAGCCAGGGTGCTGCAGTACTTGAAGAAGGTGCCCATGTAGTCAGTCTGTTTGCCGCCTGCTGCCGTCTGTTTGCCCAGGTTCTTCTGGAGGAGCTGAGCCTGGATATACACAGGGTGGGCCTCGGCCTCCGGAGCTTTCTGGGCCACCTGTTCCACCAGGGAGGAGAGTGGTGTACTCCTGGGCTCTGGGGAGAGTTATGGAAGGAGAAGGCATGCAGTCTTGAGTCTGTGCATCTGGCTTTGGGTCAATTTCCAACACAATATGGGAACTGAACCTCTGCTCAGTTCTGCATGGGGCATCTAAACTTGGGTATTATACTTACTAGGCAGCTATAAAATCCTAAGTTTGTAAAATAGAAATATAAATATATACTGCATGGGGCATCCTACAGCTTGGGTATTACACCTATGAGGCAGCTACACAATCCCAAGGGCTTCCCTGATAGCTCAGTTGGTAAAGAATCTGCCTGCAATGCAGGAGACACAGGTTCAATTTCTGGGTTGGGAAGATCTGCTGGAGAAGGGATAGGCTACCCACTCTAGTATTCTTGGATTTCCCTGGTGGCTCAGCTGGTAAAGAAACTGCCTGCAGGAGAAGGAAATGGCAACCAACTCCAGTATTCTTGCCTGGAAAAATCCATGGACAGAGGAGTCTGGCGGGCTGAAGTCCATGGGATTACATGACTGAGCATGTGTGCACGAGGGTGGAGGGAGATGGGTTGGTAGCAATAAACTGGTAGAACTAAAAAAAAAAAAGAAACTGCCTGCAATGTGGGAGACCTGGGTTCGATTGCTGGGTTGGGAAGATCCCCTGGAGAAGGGAAAGGCTACCCACTCCAGTATTCTGTCCTGGAGAATTCCATGGACTGTATAGTTCCTGGTGTTGCAAAGAGTAGGACATGACTGAGTGACTTTCACCATACAATCCCAAGTTGGTTCCCTGTGCAAGTGATTCTCATCCAGGAAGAGTTCTGAGTCTGGAGAAATCAGGGTGAAGAGTTCCATTTTCATCTCAGGGTCTCTGGGGTGGAAATCCTCTGCAAAATGCACAGCACTCTTTTGGGGACGGTTTGGTCAATGTTTACGGAGTGACTTCTGGGTATATCTCTCATTGGGAATAAGAAATGTGTACCAGCTAATGGTATGCTAAGCATCCCTTCACTTAGGAGGTGGGGAAACAGGTGGGATTAGTTACAAAACCAGTCCTGGTTAACTAGAGGGGTGGTAGGGCCCACTTCTGGGCTTCCCAGGTGGCACAAGTGGTAAAGAACCCACCTGCTAATGCAGGAGACTGGGGTTCAATCCCTGGGTCAGGAAGATCCCCTGGAGGAGGGCATGGCAACCCACTCTTGCCTGGACAGTGTCATGGACAGAGGAGCCTGGCAGGCTACAGTCTATAGGGTGGCAAGGAGTTGGACATGGCTGAAGCAACTCAGAATGTACACACAAAGGGCCCACTTCTGAGTCCTAAGCCTCCATTCCAATGTGCTCCTTCACGCTCCGCTGTGTCCTTCCCCTAGTTCAACCGTAACTGCTCCCTCGCAGAAGGACTAGTACCTGGCAGCTCCAGTGCTTCTCTCAGCGACTGCAGGATCTGCTCCAGCTGCTGGGAGAGGCTGGTATGGCTGGCTATACAGTCCTCCGTGAGGCTGGGCCAACACATCTGAAGCAGCTCAGCAATGCTGCACCGTGGGGGACCTCCTCCTTTATCCTCTCCACTCTCTATGGAGAGCAAACGAGAAAGAAAAAGTCAGGTCTGATGCTGACCCAACGTTCTGAGTCCAGGAGATTAAAAAAAGGTAGTCACGCAGCTCACCTGATTTGATTTGCCCGGCTGACACAAGCGGGTAATTGAGAATCTTACTGATCTGCTGAAGAACACCTGGAAAGCCTCGAATGCCATCAGCATTGACGAATACGTGGTCTAGCCGGCGACCTGGAAATGGATGAATCAAGGGGGAATGCAGAAAAAACATAAGGTACCTTCAGAGATTGAAAGTCCTGTATTTACGTGTAAAGGTTTATCTCCTTCAATATGAAGGGGGAGGTAGATGCTGTGCAGTTGAGTAGCCCAGTAAACCTGGCATATTCCATGCCTGTGGTTTCAGGGCTATCTGTGGCAAGATGCCTCAGCTGTCCACAGCAGCAGAGCCAGAAGCTCTGGTATTCCTGGGGAATTGCTGTCCCAAGGCAACCAGGCACTTCTTGTGGATTTGCCTTGGTACCTTTCTTAGTTGAGAATTTGAGCTGGGATCCTATCTCCTCTAATTGTTTTAAATAGTATCCTGATACCCTGACTACACTATAAAGAACTTTATGCAGAGATTATTCCTTATACCTCTCTTTTGCTCCATAAACTTTGGATAATCTGGAAATGCAGTAGGTACTAAATTAATTCCTGATTGGCATGAAACCAGTTGGCTTGAATATTATATAATCTTCATTCAATTTTTGAATATAAGTGCTAGATGAGGGGGAAGTAAACTTTTCAGTAAAAACAGCATTGTGTATGCCACAGTGCACTTTCTTGGAAGGACTATGTCAGCATTAAAGGATTTCAAGCCAACAGCTCAGACGTGATTTGGAAGGGTGTGCATAAAAGAGTTAACACAGAAAGCCCGAGACTGCTATCCTCAGAAAGCCTTGCTGGCAAGGTTGGTCCTTGGCTGGCATCTCCGAACTTGACTGGCAGATGCTTTTCTACCCTGATAAAATTTTCCCTAAATGATGGAAGTGATTGATTGTGCCTAAACTGTTTTATGGTGTGGTTTATGCTGAACACCTGCCTTTCTTCTGAGAGTCTGGAAGTTTGGTACATGTTGGGCAGAGGGTGCCTCTGTCACCAGCCCCCAATAAAAACCTTGGGCACTGGGTCACTGATGAGCTTCCAGTAGTAAACATTTCATATTTGTTTGTTGTCACAACTTACTACTGGAGTTCAGTACATCCCGTGTGACTCCAGCAGGAGAGAATTCCTGGAAGCTTATGTCTGGTTTCCTCCAGACTTGATCCCATGAGCCTTTTCCCTTTGCTAATTTTGCTTTGTGTCTTTCTGATGATATAATTTGTAGCCATGAGTACGACTGTATGCTGAGTCCTGTGAGTTCTCCCAGTGAATCACTGAACCCAGGGAAAGCTACTCATATCACACCTGTTCACCATTCCTCCCTCTGTATTACTCAGAGAGAATAAGTTCCTGTCTCTCTGCCTCGTCAGTCCTTCCAGTGTTGGGTGTGTGTATCAAGGACAGGTGGGGAGTGACACTTTGCCTAATTCTTTCTTCACATTCCTCTAAGAATTCCATAGACACATTCTGGGATATTATTAACCCCAAGGTACAATCCTCCCCTTAACTGTGATCCATTAAAAATTTCCCTTATACCTGGTGTACAAGTTTGAGACCCAAGTTTAAAGTTAAGTGGGATTCACTCTGGAGGAGGTATGCAGTTTAGGGGCACAAATTCCATTTGTACCATTTTTGGAAGGCAACTATATTCACCACTGTATCACCAATGCCATTTGAACCAGTTTTGAATGTTTATCTCTTCCTTGAGTTTATCTATAAACCAGAAGAAAAGGTCCCCAAATGACTGTAGACTGTTATGTCTGTTAAGAAGGTGAGATTCTTGGGCTTTCCTGGTGGCTCAGTGGTAAAGAATCCACCTGCCAATGCAGAAGACACGTGTTCGATCCTTGATCTGGGAAGATCCCACATGCCACAGAGCAAATAAGCCCTCATGCCACAACTACTGAGTCTGTGCTCTAGAGCTGGGGAAACTGAATCCTTTGTGCCCTAGAGCCCGTGTTCTGCAACAAGAGAAACCACTGCAATGGGAAGTCCGAGCACCACATCTAGAGAGAAGCCTGGCTTTCTGCAACTAGAGAAACAGTGAAGACCCAGCACAGCCAAAAATAAAATATTAAAAAAAAAAAAGAAGGCGAGACTCTCAATAGACTAGTCACCAGAATGGACGTGAAGGAATAAACAAACAATCCTTTCTCCTTGTCCCTCCTTCCCCAGTAACCTTCTTCCTGTATAATTGTCAAGCACCTCAGAACCCTGTCTCCTCATCTGAGAACAAAGGGATCATGTGAAGGAAGCATACTCACCCTGACTCTCAAGGCTGCTGTTAAGGCGCCGTTCAGCCGTTTCCAAGAGCTGCTTGCCGGTTTTCCAGAGCTGGCACTGTGAGCAAGCCAGGTCAAATGCAGCCATGGCGGGCGGGTTGAGGTCTTCCAGAACCTCTTTCAGGGGAGCAGTGAGCTCTACCGGGCTACTGCTTATCCAAAAGTCCTCCTGGAGCGTGGGGATGGGGTCTCCAGAGGTGCTGAGCAGCTTGTCGGTCACATCAGAGATGGAATAAAATACCATCCCTGGACACCCAGTGGTTGGGGGTAAAAGGCAAGAGGTTAAAATGATGCTCACTACCACTTTTGAGAAGTAGTTATAAGGTTGGGAGAAGTGAGGGTTTCTTCCAGATCAGGCCTAAAAGGAGGTTGAGAAATAATGTGGTAGGTCTGTGTGTGCTCATCTGAAAAGATCTCTAAAATATATTGCTAAAAAACCAAACCAGAAAATAGTACTTGTTATAAGAGCCCATTCATATTAAAAACAAAAAGCATATGCGTATATTCTTTTGAATCTGTAAAGAAAATTTCTGGGAGCATATAGAAGGGGCAGTGTGGGATGGTAACTTGATATATACAGCCTAGACCAGCAAAAGATGTAAAAACATGGGGCAAGATTCCACTTTCAAGAAATAATGAGCTCTTTCTGCAGTACAGCCAAGGTTGGGCCTGGAGACCCGAGAACCCCAGACCACAGATGTTAGACAAAACTCCTTCACTTTTTAGGAATGTAAAATAATCCCTGAATAACTACATGGGAAGAAAACACAGTAATCAACTCCCCAAAGCTCAAGATAATGGCCATCAAAACCTATGGTGGAAACTGCATTCACACTCCTCAGTACAGGCTTAATGGAACAGTTCGAGAGGCAGGTAAGTGACCCCTGTGATCAGCAAAGTTGGCCCCATCTAGAAAATGACTTGGGGGGTGTCAGGACTGCTGTTCTTCAAGGCAAGCGTCCTGCCCTGGGTTTCTGTTCATCTTCATGGTGAGCCTCTGGTTTGGGTGGTTTCTCCTTGACACCCTCCTCCCACAACTCCCTCCCCACCAGACAAGAGGGAAGCCGGACCTGCGGCTGCAGCGCTGCCGATGGCCTGCAGCGTGGAGCGGCCACTGCCTGTTCTTCGGATGGCGCTGCTACCCCCATCTGAGTTCTGGTTTTCGATTTTATGTTCTACTCGGGCCAGCTCCTGGATCACCTCCTGGTAGCGCTCCATGAACATCAGCTCCCCGGAACTGTGTGAAGACTTCAGGTTGAAGGTGAACACCACCTGTCACAGGAGAGAAAGGAGTGTGGCTTTTGGTGGGCCTGCTGGAGTTGGGGAGAATCTACAGATCTGAGATCTTGCCAGTCATCAGCCTCTGGCCCTAAGACAGCTGCTTTGTGCGGCTGGAAGAGTGTTGGATGTGCAGAGAGTAGATCAAACGCAGAAATAACTCATAAAAGTCAGCATGAGAGTCACCATAGCCCCAGCAGAATATAAGCAAATGATGTGGACAATTTCAAAGAGGAAATGCACGTGACTAATACACAGATGAAAAAATGCCTTCCCTTCTGAGTGATCCAAATTTAAAAGTCATACTACTTTGCATTTATCATAAGGACAAAGTGTCAAACTAAACCCTCAGGGGTAGAATGAACTGTCACAATCTTTTTTGAAAAGCAATTTGGCAATCTATGGAGCTTTAAAAATGTTTATATTCTTTGACTCAGTCGTTTTTATGAGAAACTTTCTTAAGGAAAAAATTCCAAAGTCTTAATGTGTAAAAGTGATAATCTTGACACTAGTTATTACAGTGATTAGAGGATTGAAAATAATCTAAGTGTTGAGTTAACAGGGGAATGGTCAAATGCAGCTACATGATCAGATAAGATCACTAAAATCAGTTACAGAGCAGATATTTAAAATGTAAAAAAGGCGCTAAAATTTTAGATTCAAAGTGATCTTGGCTCTATATAAAGGTCACATATATTTCAGAAAAACATTGGCAAAAAATATACTTTTATCTTTAGTATTGGTTGCTCTGGACAATAAGATTAAAAATAATTTTATTTTCTGGTTAATACTTTTTGGCATTTTCTTATATGCACAACTTGTTCTGTAACCAGGTTAAAAAACTTTCATTATAAAAGAAAAACTCAAAGCCTCCAAAAAGGAAGTGAGGACTTTAGTGGTAAAGGATTGGGGACCTCACAACTGACTTCTTGGTTTGGGTGTCAGAAAGGCTAGTGAGACTGCTATCCTCCTGAGAGCAACAGAATTGTCACTGTTATTAAAATACAAGATCTAAAATGTGTCAGAAGAAGTTAAACAAAAATTATCCCATCACATAGATGTTTCCATGTAAATTTACATGAAAGAAAAATTCTGACCTGTGTGTTAAGGGACCAGCATACGCATTACAAGTGCAAGAGAGTTTTAAAAATTAGAATAGTGGGTTTTGTCTACAGCCATACCACCCTGAACGTGCCTGATCTCGTCTGATCTCGGAAGCTAAGCAGGGTCGGGCCTGGTTAGTACTTGGATGGGAGAATAGTGGGTTTTTATGCTATTACATTTAAACAATAGCAGAGGATTCCTGTATTTCTCACAGCTTGCACACAATCCTCTTAACATTCCAGGAGGCAGCACAAGCAGGTATTACATTTAACTCCAGTTTTCAGGTGAGGATATCAAAGCTCAGAAAGAGTAGCTCAGAGGGAGTAAGGATCTTTCTGGTTTTTACTCCCTGTAATTTCCCCTACACACATGAACTGTCCAGTTTGCTAGTCCCTTCCACTTCTTGCATATTGAACTGGCATTCTATTTCTTGTTAAAAATGGTCTGCACAGTGATTTCTAACTATATAAAACCACATACATGTTCAGAGAAGGACAAGAAGGAAAGATATAAAAATCTTTCCATGTTTTGATTGCCGCCCAGTATTTTATCTTGCTAAAACACCATTTATGTTAAGAAAACAAATGATTCAACAGCTTAAATCTCCTCCTGGCTGGATCTTGAAATCCACAGTGCTCAAGATGGGGTTCTATACATGCAAACTCCCTCCTGCTTTTCCTGCTGGACGTGGGCCCTCAGAGGCACCTGAGTGGCTCTGGCTGCACACATATCTGCCTCTGCCTGTGGCCCCGCGGGCCCCAGATGGTAAAAGGCTGCCTTGGTGCTCTTTACTGCGGCAAGGTGAGGCCGAGGCTCCTAACACCTGTTGCACAAGAACCTGCCTCACCTGGTGGGCTTCTGCAAAGTTCCCCCGGAGGATGCAGGATGCCAGCAGTGACTCGGGTGGGGAGAACATCATGGGGATGAGGGAACTGTGAGGTTGGGGTTGCAATCGACCCTCCAGCTCATTCTTCCCAGACGCAGTGCTCAGACTTCCCTCTGTTGGGATACAGGAACATGGGCGGCCACAGAAGGGATAGAAATTGAGGAAAAACTATTCTGTCACCTGCTGCCAAACTCCTATCCTTCTCAAAGTCCTCTAAAAGGTCTGTAAATAGATCTTGATTTTTCCTCAAATGAAGGGCACACCTATGCTATCATCTTTTTCTCTTCTTCTTAAATTTGAAGTACAGTTGAAGTACAGTTAATATTGCATTAATTTCAGGTGCACAGAGAGTGATTTGGTTATATATACTTTTTAAAAATCATTTTCCACTACTGGTTATTATAAGATAATAAGTATAGTTCCCTGTGCTACCCAGTAAATCCTTGTCTGTTTTATATATGGTAGTGTGTATCTATTCATATGCTATCATCTTTAAATATAAGACTTATGTACCAACTACTTTCCTTGGTTTATTTACTTCTGTTTCTCTCTACTGATGGGGAACTCAGCTGATAGGGAAACAGCCCCTTCACTGTTGAACACAAGCAAGAACTGCTCAGTCCAAGGTTTCAGACGGGGTGAATAACGACTCTATCAGGGCAGAGTTACTGGAAGCTGGCAACTGGTAGGGACACCGATACCTGAAGTACTTGTGCTCAGTTCACTACTTGTATTTTCCAGGGATGGTTTGGAACCTTTGTCCCGGTCGTCTAGAGGTATTAGGAAGAAAACAGAGAAAATCAACCATCAATACCTTACAGTGCAGAAAGGGGGAGGTTGGCTTGAAAGCTGAGATCTAGGTAGAGTGAAAAGATAATGAGTAGTTACTACACCAGTGGCTCCTTCTACAGCAAAACACCAAGTTCCTACGGGCCTATATATATATGTGTATATATATATATATAATTCCTGCCCCCCGCCCAGTGGTGAGTCTTTATTCCTTTTAGTTGAGCTGCTCCCCTTGCAGGGAGGAGAAGTTCCTCCTATCTCAGTCCAGCTGCTCCTTCTGAGCACCCTGAGAAACGGGGATCCATCTTCTTAGTCTCATTCTAGAAGGTTCCAGGCTTCCTCAGCTGATGGTCCGCCTCCCCTCCAGCACGAAGATACACCTAGCAACAAGCTCCAGGGAGGGGTGCTGGCCCTGGCAGAGGAGCAGGGTCAGGAACTTGGGGGAGTGAAGCGACTCAGAGTCTGGGTGAAAGTGCTAGAGCAGCAGCTGCAGGAGGGGGCCCAGGAGGTGAGAGCGAGGGCCCTGGCTGCACCCCTCCCTGGGCACACTGATGGCCCCAGGGAGGGCTTAATATGACCCTAGTGCTCATTTGGATAGTAGCTTTCACCAGCGGTTTACAAGCTCTGGGTCTCAGAGCCCCAGGAGCTTTCAAGTTACTTCTTGGGGTCACTGACCCCCATCTGCCCACTAAGCACTGTCAACAGTCTGAGAAAAAATAAAAGCACAACTATTATAGCCAGGAAGCAGTAGGGTGCCAAAGAGAAGGGAGAAGTTGCTCAGTTGTGTCCGGCTGTGATCTTATGGACGGTAGCCTACCAGGTTCCTCCGTCCATGGGATTTTCCAGGCAAGAGTACTGGAGTGGGTTGCCATTTCCTTCTCCAGGGGACCTTCCCAACCCAGGGATTGAACCCAGGTCTCCCGCGTTGCAGGCAGACGCTTTACCGTCTGAGCAACCAGGGAAGCCTAGGGTACCAAAGAGGTTCACAAAATTTTCTGACGTAGAAAAGGTGGCCCTCATACTTGAAAGAGCAGGTAACCAAAGTATAAGGCAGGGCAGGCTGAAGACCATGATATTGAAAGCCCTGGAGAAAAAGCATCTTCTTCTCAACCCTTGCTTTCCTGAAGTGCTGGGGCTTTCAAGGGAGGCTTGCTATTCCTTGTTGTGATCAGTATGTAATTCAAGGGTAATGTCTGGCCACGTAAGGCAGCCTCCTTGGCTTACTGTGGGGAAGGAATAGGCAGCTGCAGGAAAGAGAAAATGAACTGTGTATCCGGAGCTGGATCAGCCAGGTGGACACAAACGATACCTTTTGACTCTGATTAACTGAGTCACTTAAGGGGCTCAGCCTTTAAGTTTTCTAAGTTTCTCTCTCCGTATCCTTCAGCTTGGCCAGCATGCTCGCATCTCTCATTGTCACTTATCTAAAGCCGACTCATTCTTCTATGTTTGGTCCCATAGTCAGCTCTTTCATAAAACCTGTTTCTTTGCCTTTTCAGGCTATGCTGACCTTCCCTTCCAAGAGATCTCTTCTCTTTTCAGGCCACGCCTCTGGGCAGTTTAAGTTTTTCATGTGTACTGTCTATGCAGGTAAATTATAAATTCTTCAAAGGCAAAGTCCTGGTTGATGCCTCATTCACCTCTCTAAAAATACCCAGTATTTTTTAGGGCACAGAAAACTATGAATTCCCTGTTAATTACTTAAAAACTAACAAAAATCATAAATGGAATGACTATCCAAAATTTAATACTTCTGTATAATGCTCAATAGACAAAATAGAGCAAAGCTTATAGCACATAATGACAGAATATTTTCCTTCAGGTATAAAGAGCTTACAATTCTACAAGAAAGACAAACCCAATAGAAAATATGGACCTGAGATGAAAATTATAAATGGCCAATAAATATATGAAAAGACATACAATCAATAAATTGATGACACACCATTAGTATATTAATCAAAGATTAAAAAAAGCCTGATACTACTCATTGCTTTTTTGGATACTGCTCATTTTTGATGAGTGTATATGCAAACAAGCACTCACATATAGATGATGGGAATGTAAATTGGCCTGCCTTTTTTGGGGGCGATTTGTTACATCTATAGTTTGTACCCACATATACTTTGACTTTCTTTAAACTGCTATCTATATTATAGACATACTCACACAAGGATGCACAGATATACATACAAGGTTGTTTAGTGTAGCATTGTTTATAGGAGCAAAAAACTAGAAACAATTTAAATGCCCACAAAAGGGTACATAGGACAATGGACTCCTAAGCAGCGTTTAAAATAAGTGAAGTGAGTTCTTACTACAGAGTATGATACCTTTACACATGTAAGAGGATGTAAGTGAAAAAAGAAAGTTGCAGTTCTCTCTATATAGTAACAATGCATCTATATATCTTCTCAGGTGGTGCTGGTAGTAAAGAACCTGCCTTCCAATGCAGGAGATGCAAGAGACACAAGTTTGATCCCTGGGCTGGGAAGATCCCTTGGAGGAGGGCACGGCAACCGAGTCGAGTATTCTTGCCTGGAGAATCCCATGGACAGAGGAGACTGGAGGACTATGGTCCATAGGATTACACGGGTGGACACAACTGCAGCAATTTTAGGCACATGTATCTAAAATGATATATATGCTTGCATTGCATAGAGAATTTCTGGAAGAAAACTATAAGCAAGGGTTATTTTAGGGGAGTAGGATTAGGATAATCTTAGACCACTTTTGTTTGTACTTTATCTGGAATTGCTCTAAGATACTTTGTCTTTGGGTGGTCTGGTGGCTAAGACTCCATGCTCCCAGTGCAGGGGGCCCAGGTTGGATCACTGGTCAGGGAACTAGATCCTACATGCCACCACTAAGACCTAGCATAGTCAAATAAGTTAATAACAATTTAGAAGAAAAGATACTTTATCTTTAAGAATTGCTTGACTGCTTTAAGTATATTAGACAAGCAGTAATACACCACCTGCCGAGTGCATGGGACGGAGGCATGGGGAGAGCTCTTCAGATTACCTGCCCGGCTCCTTCTTGTCCGACGACCCCGGCGGAGACTGGGGTGCCGTGTGGTGATGGGTCGGTATCTTCGGGAGGGTTGTTCCTCTGAAACAGCAAACCCACTGGGTCATATGGGAGGGTGATCAATTTTTTTTCTAATTGATGTATCACTGCTGCTGTACAGTATTATATAAGTCACAGGTGTACAATATTATATGTTACAGGTTATATATAACATATAACATAATATTGTATGTTACAGTTGCACAATATAGTGATTCACAATTTTTAAGGGTTATACTCCATTTACAGTTATAAAATGTTGGCCCTATTCCCTGTGCTGTACAATATATCCTTGTAGCTTATTTTATACCTAACTGTTTTTACCTCTTACTCCCCTACTCCTACACTGCCCCTCCTCCCTTCGAGGGTGACCAATTTAGAGTCGGTCCACCTCCTGGGGTAATAACAGGGAAGATCTGAACCGGGCTGTGAGCCGTGGCAGTCCCCGAGTTCTGACAGGGGTGGCTCTGGCGACGTGCCTGGAGCTAGTTGGCTCTAGGCACGCCTAGTCTCTCCCATATTCCCGAAATGTTTCTCCCTCCTCCCTTTCTGTTATCTCCTCTCACCTGAGCCCTGGATGCTGGTCGCCACCTTGTACCTCCACTGGGCCTCCGAGAGCACCTTGGAGAACTGGTGTAGGCGACCCTGCAGCCCGTCTCTGCCGCCCGAGCCGCTCTGGCCTTCCAGCAGCTTTGACTTCTCAGGAGGGCTGTGGCTGCTCAGCTGGTCCAGCTGCTCCTGGAGCAGCCTGAGGAAGGCCCCTACCGCAAACTCATCAGCCAGGAACCCACTGACACCGCTCGTAAAGTGCTTTAGGTCCAAAAAGCTGTGCCCGTGAGGCTCCCGGGAACTGTCTTTTGGCTCTGGCTTCGGACAGCTTGGAACTGTGTAGGCCAGGCTCCTGGCAGTGCCCAGGGCACCCTGTTCTGACTTCCTCTCAGGCTGTGCCACATGCTGGGGGCTCTCTGACGGGGACCTCAAACCCAGTGGGCCCTTCCCCTCAGCATCATCGTCCTCAGCGTAGTCCTCAGGCAGGTGAGGCTCTGGGTGAAGATCGGCAGAGGTGATGAGGAGCAATGAGAAGATGTTTTCTAGAAGTTCCAGGCACAGAGAGTCAGGAATACCGCACAGATACTGTTGACACCTGGCCAGGTACGTTGCGAAGAGATCTGAAGCCCCTGAAGCAGCGTGGGTAAGAGAAGAGGCCGAAGAAGGAAAGAGAGAAAGTGCAAACATCAGAAACAGCACTTGCCAGACTCACTCTCCCAACTTTAACTCTTTTCTTTCTTTGTAACAACTCAGGGAACTGTGGTTACAGTCAGAAGAATGAGAGACTGCCGAGCCATGTCTTCATGATTTGCAGAAAGATTTTGTTCCCTTAACTAAAAGTGCAGCTGACTGAGTGCTCATAATTTTGTTTCTGCTTTTTGAAACTACATTATTCCTCATCTTGGAGAAGCACTCCATATTGCAGTTGCTACAATGAAGGCAGCCTGGAGACTCCTTATTCCTCAGTTCCCATTTTCACTCACTGTTACACTACAGGTGACCACAGGCCACCCAGATCACTTAAGGCATACTCACTGGTCAAAAATGACCATGCTCAGAAGTGAAGGTCTATTTCAAAGCTGCAAGGGAGAGATATCTGAACACTAGTCACAGAAGGCAAAATAAGGAGTTGTAAGTTAAGAAAAATGGGAGAGAATAGGACAGAAGGTTCTTTCCAACAGTAGGCTGTGACCCATGACACTGACTTAGACAGCTGCATTTGAAAAAATGAAATAAAACCGAAAAATAATCTGGAGTGTGCTCTGTTTGGAAGGGTAAGAAATGTTTCTTAAAACTTGTTTCAGTTTTGTTGTTTAGTTGCTAAGTTCTGTCTGACTCTTTTGTGATTCCCATAGACTGTAGCCCACCAGGCTCCTCTGTCCATGGGATTTCTTAGGCAAGAATACTGGAGTGGGTTGCCATTTCCTTCTCCAGGGGATCTTCCCTACTCCAGAGATCGAACCTGCATCTCCTGCAGTGGCAGGCAGATTCTTTACCATTGAGTCACCAGGGCAGCCCTCTTTCAGTTTATACGTCACATATACACATACACATAAAAGCACAAACTATATACCTAGGTACAAACTGGAGTGATGTGAATTGCTACCTACTGTGGATTGAGTTTAAAAAAAAATGCATTTGGAAAACACAGTACTAGATCAGACTCTGAGAAGTTATACAAATCACTTGCTTTCTCCATGTCCCTTTGATTCACAGAGGCTGATAAACGGAAGAAATTAATCACGGGCATAGTAAAAGGCCACCTTCCAATCCTGGTGGAAAAGTGTTCCCATGCAAAGAGCCTCCTGGGGCAGGCTGTGCCCAGCTTCTGCCGGGGAAGGGGTGAGGGCGGCGCTGTACCTGGGGAGGAGACAGGATCGTTCACGGGTTCTGCAACTGAGGCCAAGTCCTCGGAGGGACCGTCTTTGCACTGCCGGCATTGGGAGTGCTGGTGTGAGTTGACGCACAGGGCATAGATGGCATACTTCATGGCACAGAAGCTCCGGTAGAGAGTCAGGTTCTGACTCTGGCTCAGGTGTGCGGGGACCAGGGCATCAGCTGAATCTGAATTGCAGAGAGAAACAGGCAGAACTTCAGGGTTGCTCTTTTTAGGCCAGGGCCGCATTCGGGGCTGAAGCACAGATATCAAGCTCCTAGTCCCCTAAGTGTTCCCACCCTCCTTCTTGTTAATCACTGTCATCTCCTTTAATTTTGTGTGTGTGTGTGTGTGTGTGTGTGTATGTGTGTTTTCTCATTTGTTTTTGTTAATCACTGTCATCTCCCACCCTCCTTCTTTTTAGGCAGGGTGATGGGTGTCTCTTCCCGGTCTTGCTTCCTACTCAACAACAACATCTAGTCCCTGTTTCCTTTTCCCCACCAACCTCCCCTCTACATGTCTGTTCAACCCGAGTCTCCTGGCTATTTAACAAGTTTTCCCCTGCATTTCTTAAAATACTTGTTTTTCCTTTTTTAAATAAATAAAACATGTAAAAGTTTAGTCCACTCTGAGAATGCCGCATTATCCAAGAGGAGGCTTAAAATGTGTTTAGATTGAGAAACAAGAGAGCGAAGGTAACACAAAATTAAAAAAAAAAAAATTGATACTTTTAGGAAAGCCCTAAAGCAGACATTATGGGAAAAAAATACAAACTCTGTTGAAATTCCTTTACACTTGTTTAATAATTTATAATTTTTTATTAAAAATGTGTTTTGAACTTAGGAGGCAGGGTCCCATAATCTTGACAGAATCTCTAAACATCTTAATGTAGCCCAAATTATTTCCATAGAAGAAGTACAACCTGTTCAAAGAAATAAAGCAAAAAGAAGAAAAAAAATATCACCCACAATCCTACTAGCTAAACACAACCACTGTTACATTCTGGTTTAACCCCTTTCATAGTTTTGTGTACAAGTATATGTGTTTAAGTTGAGTGTAACAACATTTTGTATACAACTTACTTTTTCTACTTCTTACAGATCCCTTAGAGCATAAGCACTGGATTATGTTTCTTTAAAAACTAAATTTCTGCTGGCTGCATATAGTTCTACCATATGAACCCTCTGTCTAGGCATATTCCTCCAGGGACACTGGAGTAGTTAGGGATGCTTTGCTGCGACAATGTTGGAAGAAGCCTCTTACAGGTTTCCTAGTGATCACTTCTTAGAAGCTCAGCCAATATTGTTCTATGGCCTTGACCTCTTCATGGCATTACTGCCCAGAGCCAGGACTTGCAAGCACCCAGAGAGGGAGTGGCTCCAACACTGCTGTGCCAGAAGCCACTCTTGCCTCACCCTGTGCTGTGTGACATGCTCAGTCGTGTCTTACTCTTAGCGACCCCATGGATGTAGCCTGCCAGGCTCCTCTGTCCATGGGGATTTTCCAGGCAAGAATACTGGAGTGGGTTGTCATGCCCTCCTCCAGGGGGTCTTCCCAACCAAGGGATCGAACCCATATCTCCTTCATTACAGGCGGATTCTTTACCCTTTGAGCCACTAGGGAAGCCCAAGAATACCAGAGTGGGTAGCCTATCCCTTCTCCAGGGGATCTTCTCGACCTAGGAATCGAATCGGTGTCTTCTGCATTGCAGGTGGATTCTTTACCAGCTGAGCTACCAGGGAAGCCCTGCCTCATCCTAGTCCAGCCCTATTATCACTCCTCTTTTGCCTCTTTCAAGTTCAAGATCTGAGTATGTCCTGTGACAGAATTCAAATGCTCCTTCGGAAGATTTTTGTACCTGTATGTGTAAAATAGAGTTTCAGTTCTTTTAGGAAATCTGCTAAAGTTGTCTACATGTCTAAAAAAAAAATGGAATGTAGTAACACTAACTGTACAGTTAGTGGTAAGTCCTTTAAAAAAGTAAACGGTGGGGTGGGATGAATTGGGAGATTGGGATTGATGTATATACACTAGTGATACTATGTATAAAATAGGTAACTAATGAGAACCTCCTAGAGAAGGAAATGGCAACCCACTCCAGTATTCTGGCCTGGGGAAATCCCATGGACAGAAGAGCCTGGTGGGCTATAATCCATGGGGTCGCAACAGAGGCAGACACGACTGAGTGACAAAACAGCAACAATGAGAACCTACTGCAGAGCACGGGAACTCTACTCCATGTTCTGTGGTCCCCTAAACGGGAAGGAAACCCAAAAAAGATGGGATATACGTACACATATAGCTGACTCACTTTGCTGTAAAGCCGAAACAAACAACATTGTAAAGTAATTATGCACCAATAAAAATTAACTTACAAAAGTAAAGCAAAGCAATATCTAGGCTGGAAGACATCTACTGCCATATGAAAATGTTTGTTTCTCTCAAAGGGAAGGTCCCTGGCCTGTGTAGTAGACGGAGACCACACTATCATATGATTTTTGAGAGCAGAAAGAAAGCTTGCTATGAGGGCTCTGAATTTACAGCAAAGATCTAAGGTTAAAGTAAGGCTTTGTTACTGCTTAAGGCAAATCTTTCTTTGAAAAGAAAAACTCTAAAGAAGTTTGAAAAAGAATCTTCTAAGAGAAAAAGCCTACCTGTTCAATAGATTATGAAGAGGGAAGGCAGGCACAAAATGTGCTATGAGACAGCTAATGGACCTTGGAGACTCACCAAGAACTGGCATAAATACTGCCAGTGACAATGCTGTGAATTCAGAGGGCAGTTCCTAATTCCGTGGAATGAGGGTATGCTTGTGGTTCCTGAGCTGGATCCCTATGGGACTGCTCTCATAGGAATCCCTAGGCCTCACCTAGAAAGGGAAGGGTGTCCCTACATCTAATAATCTGATTAGGGCAAATAGCATTAATTTAGAAGGTACCTGCTGGACCACCCATCTTGGCAGATCCCAGCAATCATGCTAAATAAACCTTGTGCTAAAAGAAACGTGTAATATTGTCCTGGGGGGAACCCTGCCTAGGTCACTCCTTCGCCAACTCACCATGCTCTTGCTGGGGGTCCTTGGCTGGCACCTTCTGTAGGAGCTTGAGAACATCTTCCTCCCTGAGGGCTGGAAGGTTTGTAAGGTGATGGAGAGAGTAGAGCACTGAGTGGCTGTCTCCACCATGTAAATGACACAAGAGATCTCTCTTTGGTATGGGGTTGCTGAAAGCAAAAGTTGGGAGGATGGAAGGGGAGACAGTTTAAATAACTGCTTGGAAAAAGAGTCTCCGTTTCCTCTTAGTCTTCTCTCTGGCTAGTAACTCCACAGGTTTCACTTCCCCAAACACTAAATTTCAGATGGTCCATCACAGAGGATAGCATTTGTTTATCCCCAGGGAAGGAAATCTATCAAACCAGCTTTTTACTTGTCTAGAAAGGATCTAGGAAGGCCCTTTGTGCTCAGCAGACTCTAAAAAGGGCCCGCAGATTAAGCTTCCTAATTTCTGTAACCTTCCTAGCTGAGATCCAACAGGAGCGTCTCTGCTTTTCTTTGAGTCAGGGCCCCTCGCCACTTCCACCTCTGCTGGTAATGTGGGTGAAGAACAAAATAGGAACCCAGATTTAGGGAAGACTAAGGCTAAGTTATCAGGAAAACACATGATCTCACACACATTTCAAAAGGCAGTTGTTGAATAAAAATGTGACTTAAGATAACATGCAGCTAAGGATGTGGACCACGCCCAAAAGCTGTGTGACTCTAGGCATGTTACTTAACACTTCTGGGCTTCAGGAGCCCCACCTTTAAAATGAGGATAACTTTGGTGTCTATCTCACAGGATTAGGGTCAAGCTCATTACGTAAAGGGCTTAAAGCAATCCCTGGTATACAGTAAGTGCTCAGGAAACACAAGCTTTTGTTCTTGTTATCATTGTCATCCTTAAATTATCCTCTAGTTATGACCTTGTGGCTGTAGTGAATATTTCTTTCCTGGTTTAATAGCTGGAAAAACTACTTGCTGTGGGTCAATTCTGTCAACTCAAGACATTTATGGGGAAGATGTACTGAATAGGCCACATGCATAGAGTGTAGGGTCAGGTGTGCCCCGTGCGGGGAAGAGGGGGCTGGCAGTACAGAACTGTACCTGCTCTGCTGCACACACCACTCCAGGACCTCCAGGTGAGCCCACAGCCCATCGCAGGCATCTCTCAGGAGCCTATCACAGCCTTGGTCCTGCATTGATACAGGAGAAGAAAGAGATGCTGACTCAGGCACCTGGGGTCAGAGGCTGTGACCTACTTCAGGACCCCGCCCCAGCCCAAAGCCTCATCACACACATTTCTGGAGGAGCTTGGGCCGCACTGTGAGTTACCTGGGTCCCATGGAGTGTCTGGAGCAAGCTCTTGGCTGACGCTAGGCTCTGGCAGTGTGTCCAGCCCAGGAGCACAAGCAGTCTGCTGAGAGGCCTGAACTCTCTACTGAGCAGGCAGCCAAGACTTGGGAAGTCCTCCTCCTTCAGTAGGGCGAGTGCTGTCACCTGGAAGCCAAAGGAGATGGCTAGAGGACTTGCTGCGCATCAGGGTGAGAAGATTTTCCATTGCGAAGGGAGGTTTCCAACAGTGCTAGAAGTGGCCAGTTTTTACAAAAAATACTAGATTGTAAACTTCCTGAAGGCAGGGACTGACTTCTGTTCTATCTCCAGATCTTAGCATAGGATAGCACACAGACTAAATTAATAAATAGTTGTTGAATTAAACTGGAGCTCAGCTGCAATCTGGAAGAAGGGTAGAGTAATTAGATTCCCCTGTCAACTAGGTGATATGTTGCTGCCACTGTCTCTTCTCCCTCACACCCTCCAGAAAGCTTACACATACCTGTTCAAGGACAGATATGAAATGAAATGCTGGCAGTTCTAAATATGAATGATACTGGTTCTCAGAGCCTTCTAGAACTGTGAGATGAACACACAAACTAGATGACTTACCACTAATTAAACTGCTTTGCACTGGACAGATGAATGGGTGAGAAAGGAGAAATGAAAAAAACCTGGAAGGATCCCTGGAAACTTGTGTGATGGAGAATTACTGAGTTTGACTTACCAGGATCTGCTCGAGGAAGTGCTTGCTGTTGCTCAGGCAATAGAAATAAGCCAATTTCCAGGCGTGGGCTGGGTCAGGATTGGAGAACAAGGCTAGCATTGCCCGCTCAGGATCAAGAGGATCCGGTGGGACTGAAAATTAAAACAGACAGCTGATATGAGAGTTCACTCTTTCAAAAAATTACACCAGGTTTTCTACACTTCTATGTTAAAGACCCTTTTCTTCTCTCGGTGTGTGTGCTTAACCCATCAGCCGTGTCTAACTCTTTGCAACCCCATGGCTCCCCTGACCAGGCTCCTCTGTCCATGGGATTTCCCAGGCAAGAATACTGGAATGGGTTGTTATTTCCTTCTCCAGGGGATCTTCCCGACCCAGGGATTGAACCTGTGACTTTTGTGGCTCCTGCATTGGCAGGTGGATTCTTTCCCATTAGCACCACCTCTTTCCTGCTAGTGTATCATTTTCTCCCCCATCACTCCATCTTGAACTACAAAATCCATGCTTTCACAAAGCACAGATGCCCATTTTTACAGGACCCTTGCCCATTTCTGCTTAGCTTCTGCCATTAGATTTCCAGAGCAACATGGAAGGCAGGGATTCAGAGGGGTTTGACAGGGTGGACTTGGCAACACAGGAGAAGCAGCGCAGGGACACACCTTTTCCCGAGGGCGTGGCCTTCTCTGCATAGGTGCGGCCGTACTGGGACACCAGGTCCCGCCCGGCCTTGTGCAGCAGGCAGCCCAGCAGCTGCTCCTCCTGCAGGGGGCTCCCCTCCAACCTGCAGGCCTCCAGCAGCTCCTCACACAGGAGACGCAGCTCAGCCCCAGGCGGCTCTGCAGGGCAGCGCAGCGTCCGCAGGGCCCCGTAGATGGCACCAACTGTCCCTGGGGGCGCGGTGGTAGGGCCCCGCAAAGTCCGCAGTGCCTTTCGAATGAGGTCCACCAGGGCTTTCTGCAGAGGCCAGCCTCGGAGGCCCGAGCCATCAACCTCCCCAAGCAGGAGCTCCAGCAGGGCCTGTGCGACCTGGGGGGCCTCCCTCAAGAGATCCCAGAGCACAGAGACAGCTTCTGGGCTGAGCCGAGGGGGCCAGCTCTCCTGCCTGAGGTTTCCATCAAGCACGGGGTCCACTCTGTCGTGTGCTAAGACTGCGTACAGCTCCTAAATAGAGGATGAAGACAGAGATGGGTGGTATGTCCATGTTATCACTTATAAGCCTCGATGTTTCCCTCTTTTCAGTGTATACATGCATGGGTATATACAATAGCAGTGGTAGCAAAGGCTTCTGTAGGCGCTACTATGTGCCAGATTCTTTAGACAGAAAAATGAGTACTGAAAACCACCTAAGAAGAAGACATGACTATTATTCTCATTTTGAAGGTGTCCTCAAACTAGGGGGTTGAGGCAAAGAGAGATTTGCCCAAGGCCTCCATGCTCAAGCTAGTCTATCCACACCCCTAACCCCGTTGCCCCTAAAATGTACACTGTCACACTAAATCAGGGACTGCAAGCTCAGAGACCAGGTAATAAATTTTTATAAGACCCTGTACTCATGTCAAGGCACTTAAATTCAACTTTTAAAAGAACACTACAGACTAGTTTTTAACCCTTGATCTAAATCCCAAGCAAGATTTCAGATACAGTCTTTTTTTTTATTGTTTATTTTTTCTTAACTTTTTATTTTATATTGGAGTATAGCAGATTAACAATGTTGTGACAGTTTCAGGTGGACAGCAAAGAGACTCAGCCATACATATACACGTATCCAATCTTCCGCAAACTTCCCTCCTATCCAGGCTGCCACATAACATTGCAGATACAACCCATTTTTTATCCTTCCATAAAACCTTCCTCAGTACCTCCAACCCACACAACTCTCCCTCTTTATGGGGCTCAGTACCATATGGTTTAGTACATAATTGTGCTATGTGTGTATTTCCTTCTTCCCCCACTAGACTGTAAGTCTTTAAAAGCAGATCTCTGGAACCTATAATTTGTTCGGTAGGTTATTTCCACTCTTCATTCCTGTGGGTGGTGCTCAGGGATACATACTTCTTTATTACCTGCTTCCGAGATGGTCAAAGAACCTTGAGTTCTAGTGAAAGTCCCTACCTTAAATCCTACTGTAAATATGTCCTTCATTGGCTGGTGGCCAGGTCATGAAGAAAATAAGCATTAAGCCTCAGAGCATCCCTCATGCACTAAAGGACAGATCTAGTTAAGATTCTGAATCTGCTCCCAGAAGGTGGCTGTGAGGATTAACTATAACATATTCAATGCACCTGTTCAGAAGGAGGATTTTTTTTTTTTTTTTTTTTTCCCCCTTGCCTATGGGATTTTCCCAGGCAAGACTACTGGAGTGAGTTGCCATTTCCTTCTGCAGAGCTATATTTAGTACTTCTGGCCAAAACACTTCTAGGAAGTCTACAATTAGATAAGATTTCCCTATCTCTAAATTTCTTTCAAGGGGCCTCCCCCTGGTCTGGCCTGAGAAAAGTGAACAGCCAACATCCTGAGGGCTTGTTTCTGCTGGATCCACGAAAGCTGAGCTTCTTGAGTGCCTGCACCCCTGGGCAGACAGCTGGGGCTGTCTCTCACCTTGAGGATGTCCTCTGAGATGTCACCTGGGAGGTCTTCTGACAATAAAAGAAACTCAAGTTTTCTCCGGAAGCAAGCTGGGAGGAACTTCTGGAAGAATCATAAGAAGGAAGCATAGAGATTAAGAATATGTTTTAAGGGAATTCCCTGACTGTCCAGTGGTTTCACTGCAGTGGGCCTAAGTCCAGTCCCTGGTCAGGGAACTAAGATCCCCCACACCACATGAAGCAGCCAAAAAAAGAAAAAAAAAAAAAAAAAGACTATATTTTAGCTGACAACTATAAGTAAGTACTTCTGTCTGGTTCAGCTTATTTCTGCTGTTTTCTCTAAGATAAAGTACTTTCTTTTTTGATAAAGTACTTTAGACCATTATATTTCTAGGTATGTTTTCATTCAGACACTTTTTTCTTTATAAACAAAAACAGCTAAACTGAACATATACTCCCCTTAAATACTAACAATGAAATCCCATACTGATCAGCCTCAAATGCCAAGGCTTGTTCATTTCATGTGATTTTTTCCTCTCTAACTTGAGGACCTTCTCCAAGAATCTTCCTTGTGGTGTCCCAAATTACCCAGTTATGAGTAAGTTGGGATGGAATGGCCCATGTGATACTTTTCTGGACCAACACCCTGTTTTTTATTTCCATTTTTAGTTAGAAAATTAAAGGGGGAGAGATCTAATGTTCATGAAACACTTATTTTGTGCCAGTTACTATGTGCAAGTTTTCACATGCTTTTAAAAATCTCACTTAATTGCTAAATCAACAAACCTATGGCCTTGGGATGTTTTAAAACACTATCTTCAGTAAAGATGAAATGATTAGGAAGTATTTTCCAATCATTTCAAGCATGAAAAGGAAGATGTTTGTTAATTTAGAGACATGTCATCGGAGACTAATGCATAAGGGAAGAGAAAGCTTCTGACTTATTCTGTACCTGCTTGTTTCACAGTAACTTCCCTTCACCTGGTTCTTAAAACTAAAATGATAGTTCCCCTTTCTCTAGGCACAAATTCAAATAAGATGAAAGCCTGGGACTAATCCTGACAAGCACTCTTTAAAACTAGAGGCACCTGTAAATCTTGCAGCTGGTTAAATCTTCCAGATGATGGGTTTTATTGAAAAGTCTCCTAAATCAAGGCAAGAAGCACCAGCAGGATTGTGTGTCTGTTAAGCGAAGTTTAGAACATAAGAGCACGCTTACTTTATTCATGTGTCATTCATTACATCAGAGGCTAATAAGATCTAGTATGTTCTTGGTCCAAAATCCTTCTTACGATGCCCTCCCTTAACGCTCTATGCCACCTGAATCCTTGCATAATGCTAGTGATTGGAAGGTGGTAAAGAAAATTCATTCTGGCAAGCTGAAAGTTAGTGATTCCATTGAGGACTAAGAGGAAGGAGTAGATAACGCCAGAGAGCAGGCTCTTAATAAAAGAACTGGTTAAGATTTTAGGACTTTCACTTAAAGTCCTAAAGACTGACTAGCTTGTATTTTTTCTACTGGTGAGGTTACTTTATGCCTCTGCAGGGTCATAAACATCCAATATTTGTAAAACAAGCAAGAATTTGCCCAATGTTTCTAAGCACAGATTTTCTTATTATAAAATCAATGCCACGTTCAAGGTAGAAAAATACAAACAGGCAAATGAAAACACACATTCACAACACACACATACCCCAAATCTTTCAACTAAAGAAGAACTATAATTGCAACTGTATTCTAAGAGTATTCAGACCATTTTCTATATACACATATAGGCATGCATAACAAACACTGTTTTCTAAACAGCTTTTTCTTCACATAGCAGAATACAAATATCCTTCCACAAGACCGAAAATTAATTTACCACATAATTTTAACAGTGCCATGGCATTTTACAAATAGATTAATCAGTTCTGGACTGTGGACATGGGAGCTGTTTCCATCTTTCCTCTTTTAGAAGCAGCAGGCTGTGAACATTACACTTTTCACATGATAAAACATAAAAAGGCAGAAGGCAAAAATGGACGAAGGAGAGGGAAAATGGAAGCACTGTTTCATCAGATAATTAAAAAGGATCTTTCAGTAGCAGGTGGTAGACAGGAGAAGGAGCTGCCAGCAAGTCCCTAGAAGATGAAGGCCGGTCTAGGATAAAGACTGGCTTTGTGGAACTACTCCAGGAATGAATTTGAAGTCTTGGTCCTTGTATAAAGTTTTAAAATTCTCTGAGGTCCTTGTACAAAGTTTAAAACATTCCCTAAACTGCTTATATAACTGAGGTAATGGGGCTTTAAGGACCAGATGATCTTCAATGCTGGGAAAAACAACTCTTAAGTCTGTGAAAAGGAGCCGGGGAAGTGAAATTCACCTTCAGATCTGGTTGAGCAACTGTGCAGAAATTTAACCACCACCAATTAGCATAGAGTAAGCAAATATGCTCCGTGAAGCCAAAGTTCATCTGGTTTGACAAATTCCATGGGTGTACTGAGAAGGTCCTGGGTAACAGTAAGACATTTTTTTCCCCTTTTCTCTTTGAAGAAACTTTTGGATATTCTAGTTGAAGATGTCTCTTTTAGATCTGAAACTACAGCCAACTCTGAATCACCCTGGGGTTGATTATTTTTCAGTTTGCTTCTCTTCCTTCCCTCTCCTGCTGACCTTTTTTGTCATTTCTCTTTGCTAGTCCATTATCAAAAATCTGGATGATGAATGCATTTACATTAGTAACTTCTGGTACTTTTTGACGTTTATGTGAAGAAAAGTGTCAGGCAAATTCAGAACTAAACACAAAATTCATTTTGATGACCAAGAGAAAGGAAGAAGAAAATTAGGCTGAATTATAGACATTTATAAAACAGAATTTACGGTTTCTTACTTTCAAGTCCATGTAGGCTAAAGATAACATTGAGGTGGGAAAAGAAGAGGACCGAGAAGTTGGAGGCAGAAGACAATGGTTCCAGCTCCAGTTCTGCCAACTAACTTTATGGTGTGACCTTGAGCCAGTCATCTCTTTTTTGAGTCAGAGGTTCCTCACTTAAATCTTAAAGTGTCAGCTTTAATACAAAAGTGCCTCAGAGAGTTTCTTTAATAGATATTTATTTCTGATAATTAACACATATTTCTAAAAGAGCTAAGAATGGTAATTTTTCTTAAAAACAAACTCTAAACCCTTCCTTATGTTTTCTTTCACTATTAATTTATTCAGCTTTTTATTTGGTAACTTTTGGTTCAAGTCATGTGAGTTATTAACTTATTAATTAATGATGTTTAAATCAATAAGATTTCACTGTACTGGACTAGTTAAAATATGATTTTTGTATCAACAACCAAGTTTTGATTCAGCCATTCTCCATTACTTGAGTATTACGAGAATTAGACTTGATTCACAATCTTGTCACTTTCACCTGAGTTTTCCAAAGTTCTGTTCCAGCACAAGAGTCACAGTGGTTTTTAACACAATGGTATCACCTCAAATGGTAGGTTGGTGACTCAATGCCAATGTAGGTTAGTAAATTAATAAATGAATTTAGGTAAGGAGACATCAGTAAATATTCAAGCCAACCTCACTGTCAGTACTGAAACAGGAATACAACAAACCTCAGAATAAAGGAAGCAGCAGACAGAAGGGAAATTTCACAACTCCTTCCAAGTTCTTTTCTCCTGGCCTCAGGAGAAAATTTGAAATGTAAACCTATTTACCTTTTCCAGGGCCAACCATTTTTCCAGTACAAGAAGCCAAACCCAGGCTAATCTTTGAGGACTGATATCCTGTCCACATCTGAAAAATGTAAAAAGAAAAAAAATTCTAAACAGAGTTTCTACTGATTTTTTCTTCTTTGTGATGCAAAATTTAGATTTCACTTCTCAGTCTGTTTTACACCTGAACAGGCAAGATATTGCCCTAATGAGAAATTTTTGAATGTATGTGACAGATCAGTAAAGGGAGAATCAGAACAGAACTAGCAGCATTCACTTAAGAAGAAAAGGAAAAGTTCTTAATTCTAACTCTATCTCCTTATTTAGTCTTTCTTATTTTTAAGCAAAATAATATTCCACCAAAAACCATAAAAGCAAAGCTATCTGAAACAGAAAACTTGAAATCTTGAAATAGAAACTGAAATCAAGTAATCAAAGAAACCAGAAAGTTCATAAAAATTTATTTTTAACTCTATGCTAAAAATAGGATTGGGGCTTCCCAGGTGGCCCGAGTGGTAAAGAACCTGTCTGCCAACGCAGGATACATTAGAAAGCTGGGTTTAGTCCTACTCCAGATCCCCTGGAGTAGGAAATGGCAACCCACTCCAGTATTCTTTTTTTTTTAATTATTTTTTTATTTTTTTTCCATTTATTTTTATTAGTTGGAGGCTAATTACTTTACAACATTGCAGTGGTTTTTGTCATACATTGAAATGAATTAGCCATGGATTTACATGTATTCCCCATCCCGGTCCCCCCTCCCACCAGTATTGTTGCCTGGAGAATTCCATGGACATAGGAACCTTGCAGGCTACAGTCCATAGGGCTGCAAAGGTTGGACATGACTGAAGCGACTTAGCATACAAAACAGAATTATAGGAGTTCATAAGCCTTTCTTTGAAGTTAGTAGTTTAGACAGTAATTGACTAGAATCCAAATTTAAAGGAAAAAAAAAAAGGAAGAAAAGAATCATGTAAATCTCCATTCTATATATGCTAATACAATACTTTCTTATAAATAACTGCCAGAGTAAGGAAAAATGAGGGAAAAGACTGAAGTTTAACTCCTATACCACTAACTGTTAATAGCACTGCCAGGAGAACTTCAAAATTTACAAGGAGAACACTGGTTGCCAGGGGACAAGATAGGAATCAGTGTGCAAACAGGTAGTCCCAGGGACCGGGGGAATTCTTTTGCAGTGATGCCTGATTATAGTGGGTGTTACATGAATCTAAGAATGGATAAAGATGCACAGAACTACACACATAAAAATGAATACATATTGGGACTACCCTGGTGGTCCAGTGGTTGGGACTCGCACTTCTAATGCATGGGGTGTGGGTTCCATCTCTGGTTGGGGTACTAGGATCCTGCATGAAGTGCAGCACGGCCAAAAAAAAAAGAGAGAATGCAGATTAAAAAAATGGTGAAAACTGAATAAGGGCTGTAGTCTAACTAACAGTGGTGGTGGTTTAGTCGCCTAGTCGTGTCCAACTCTTTGCGACCCCATGGCCTGCCAGCTCCTCTGTCCATGGGATTTCCCAGGCAAGGATATTGGAGTTCGTTGCCATTTCCTTCTCCAGGGGATCTTCCTGACCCTGGGGCTGAACGTGAGTCTCCTGCATTGGCAGGCGAATTCTTTACCGCTGGGATATGAGGGAAGCCCCCCCCCCCCCTAGTTAACAGTACTGGTGTCAATTTCTTGGTTTGATATTGACTATAGTTATATAAGATGTCACAATTGGGGGAAGTTGGGGAAAGGGTACTCTTTGTATTATTTATGCATTTCTTGTGAATCTATAATTAATTATTTCAAAATAAAAAGCTTTACGTGAACTCACTTCTGGTCCTTTGTTAAAGTTACAACAATATCTTCAATTTCACAAGCAAGAAGGGAGCAGGATTTGCTCTTATGGAGGCAAAGAAAATGCTTTATTATTAATGATAATAAACATGAAATGCTGGTTCCAGGCTTAAATGCAGTCTCAGATGATAGTTTAAAGCCAAACTGATTAAGTAATATACAGGCATGTATCAATATTATAGAAGTAAAATTTCAGAACACGTGAAATACAATCTGCCTTTGTTAATTCTTCAAAGGTGATTGAGTGAGGCACGTGGACCCGAGCTCAAGTATTGAACCTTTCCTGTTCGTCCTGTGACTATATGACAGGAAGCGAGAGATCCCTTACCTCAGCTGATTGGGACACAGGACCAGCGCCCGAAGTATATCTTCCACCTTCTTTGGGATATCCCCTTGTGCCTCGTGTAGCTGAGGTACGCATGCCTTTGCCAGTTCCCAGTCTCCTCTCCGAAGGCACTCACAGAAAAATCCTAAAAGCTGCTTCTGGGAAGCAGCTTCCTCTTTTCCAAATGGATGGTGCATTTTCCCCAGCACACAGTGCAGGGAGATAGAAACAGATGAATTACACAAAACACATCGGCTTTTTTCTCATTTGTGGACTATCTCCTAGAAACAGTACACATCCGAGAGAGAAGAAAAGGAAGGAATAAGACAAACTAGCAATACCCGCACGAGGAAAGGCAGGGCTTACTTTTCTAATTAGACATGTTACTGTGTCTCTTTTTGAGAAGTTCCCTTTCCCCAAGGGGTGGATCACATTTCTCTAGGCGCATCCAATATTTGATTAATATTAATCGTCATATTAGCCAGCGACGCAGACCCAAAACTCCACTTCCTTATTTCCTCCTGAACTTTATGCCCAATGCGGCTCCAAATCCCCAGGTGGTCGTCTCCTTAAAGATGAGAAATTCAGCAGGAACCTCCCTAGTTTGAGCCCTCTTTTAAGGCAGAACACTGATGATCAGGAGAGGAATCGGTGTCAGAACTGGAGGGCGGTGGGGATTGGGGCGCAGGGACGCTTCCTACCGGGATCGTGGAGAGCGCTCCTGCCTTTTCGGGGCGCCTTACACTCACCCGCTCCCGGTGCCCAAATCTGTACATCTTCCAGTGAAGCCATGTTTGAGCCGAGTCAGGTGACAAATCTCGTTCGGCAGGCTGGGGGCGGTNCTCTTGAGAGTCCCTTGGACTGCGAGGAGATCAGTCCTGGGTGTTCATTAGAAGGACTGATGCTGAAGCTGAAACTCCAATACTTTGGCCACCTGATGTGAAGAACTGACTCATTTGAAAAGACCCTAATGCTGGGAAAGATTGAAGTCAGGAGGAGAAGGGGACAACAGAGGATGAGATGGTTGGATGGCATTACTGACTCAATGGACATGGGTTTGGGTGGACTCCGGGAGTTGGTGATGGACAGGGAAGCCTGGCGGGCTGCGGTTCATGGGGTCGCAAAGAGCAAGTGAACTGAAGTGAACTGAACCGACAGCCGTGAACTGTGCGCTAGACTCTACTTTAGAAGCTGAAGAAGACGCGGTCCTTGTCCTCAAAGAGATCACAGTCTACTGAGGGGTGTAAGTCAATAGTTAGGATGCAGTGGGCTAAATGATAAGACAGAGGTATGCACAGGGGAGATGAGAGCAAAGAATTAGCAAAAAGCCATTCTCAAATATAATAATTTGAAATTGAGTCTTAAAACAATTTACTAGGTTTCCTCATCACAGCTGCTTTTATACTGAACTTTCTGGTTTCCTTCATGTTCTTCAGCTATAGACTCGGACTTTTCCCCGTTACATATTTTCGGTTTGAGCAGTTTCATTTCAATATTTTCCGAACTATCACCACCAAAGGCGGAGAAAAAACCAAAGCAAACCAAAAATTCTCTTCCAAAACTTGGATGATTGGTGGATTCTCATCTATTCTCAGAAAATTAACTTGTCTTTCTGGTCCATTAAGCAGTTTTTAAGTGAAGTGACAAAATAAAGAATAGAAAATTAAAAGAAAGTTATTTTCTGGCATGGTATTCTCCTTGCTGATATTCCTCCACCGGATGTTTATAATCACTATAATGAGAAATTGACTGGGACTCACAGACATTAGCGAGTGTGAACTACAATTCCCAGCAAGCAGCGGAGCCGCCCTGGGCCTGTGCCTACTTTTTATTGGATAGTTCCCCAGTGTGACGACCCAACCAGCGCTTCGGTTGTTGCTTTTCATCACTTTCCGCGGGGAACTGTGTAAGGGATAGGGGAAACTTTGAAAGTTGGATGCTGCAGAACCCGGTACTGGAAAGTTTCCTCTTGCGGGCGGTTTGGGGAAATGGGGTGCGCTTATTATTTCCTGCGCCCTCTCTGGGCACGTGGTGTTGATATCGGGGGAGTGGAAAGCCACTCTTGGGTGCAGGCGCACGCCCCCTTAGGTACACTGGGATCTTAACTTGAGCCCAGCCGTAGATCTTAGGGGGTCTGGTCTTCCTTTGTGGGGGTTGCGTGGAAGCTGCACCTTGTTGGGAAGAGCTGTTGTTCAGGGATGATGTTTTCGCCTCTTGATGTCCATCCATCTTCCCACGTGTGGGCAGTTTGAGGTCTAGGAAGGAGAGCCAGTCATTAGGGGAAATTGAGTGTCTGCCTGTCTTCAGGTGTTGTTGAATTAGAGGTACTGAATAGTGTGGAATATGGAGTCAGATACCTGGGTTCGAATGCAGACTCCACCTTGTGCTAGATGTTAGGCTTTGACTAACTCTTTCAGTGCCTCAATATCAAACTATAAAATGGGGTAAAAATCGGAGTTCTTGGAAAAGTGGCATGTAATAAAGGCTCAAGAAATATTAGCTATTGTTAATTGACAGCTTTCAATCGTGAGGATTTTTTTTTTTCTTGATAAGAAGAGGATTCACTTTCCAGGATCAAACTTCTTCCCTCACACCCTTGTTTACATGCACTGGCATATATACGCAGAGCAGGAATTTACCGTGGAAGAAACAAACGTTCAACTCATAACAACATGTTAATAAGATTATCGAACAAATGAGTACACAATGTGATGAGAATATTGGAGAGAAAGAGTAAGCAGGAAGTCTTTGTGGAGGAAAATCAGGGAGGCAGGATGGCCCTTATGTAACCTATCAGTGTTATGGTTGGAAGGCAGGTCACCTTAGGTAGCAAATGCTGTTTTGCTGAATGAGTTGATAGTAATTGTTCGCAGTAGGAGCCAGGCACCATCCACATCCTCTAACCTTCGCTACATTCCTGCAAAGTAGATATTTAAACGATGTCTGTTTTTCAGATGAGGAAGGTGAGGTACTGGGAGGCAAGCGATTTTACCAGAAAGGTCAGAATCTGGGCCTTGCGATCTGATATATGAATGAGAGGAAAGTGAGGGACCAGTTCACCAAGAGGCTTTAGGCCATCATAAGAAATGTGGAGTTTATCCTGTGGTCTCATGGTCCCACGGGCAGTTTGAAAGGGTGAGAGTGACAGGATTGGAGCACGTTTTTAGGAGGCTACCTCTGACAGGATTGTGACTTGTGGGTCAGTTTGGTGCGTATTCCTCTCTGCTTCCATCTGAGTGTATGTGTTCTTGTTGCCGTCGTGTCTGACTCTTTGTCACCCTGTGGACTGTAGCTGCCCAGGGGGATTCTCCAGACAACAGTATTGGAGTGAGTTGCCATAGCACATTTAAATTCCGATGACAATACTTGCTGCATGACTAATTATTTGTGTATATATTACTTTTCATCTTTTACTGTGAGTTTCCAAAGGGGAGAAATATACTTAAGTGATTCTTGTGCCACAGCACTCAGCAGAATATGTGCTTAAGAAGCATCTGTGAAAGGAACAAACCATTTATTTTTTTGTGGGTTGGGGGGGTGGGTGTGCAGGGTAGGGAATGACCAGAGGCAGTGTGAGTAGTCTAGGCAAGTGATGTGTGTGTGTGTGTGCTCAGTCGTGTCTGACTCTTTGCGACCCCATGGACTGTAGCCCACCAGGCTCCTCTGTCCGTGGGATTTTCCAGGCAAGAATGCTGGAGTGGGTTGCCATTTCCTTCTTCAGGGGATCTTCCCGACCCAGGGATCGAACCTGTGTCTCTTGCATTGGCAGGTGGATTCTTTTATCACTGAGCCACCAGGGAAGCCCTGTTCTCTTTTTTGGGTTGAATTTATTAGTCAAAATGATGTCATTGCCCAGAGCTACCTGGTATGTGAAGACCCTGGGCAATGATTCAGCAGATGTCACTTGTTAAACTTTCTATTAGAGACACAAAACCCAACACTGACAAATTCCCTTTGAGTGAAATGAGAAGGATTTATTTTGTGGTTGTGGGAGGGATGTGTGTGTGTGAGAGAAAGATGAGGGAGAGTGAAAGAGTGTTAATCTGATTAGAAATTTGGGCCATGGTATTGGAAATGAATATCTACATTCTCAGTGAATAGTTTAGTTCCCAAATGTAACTCTTTTTCTGATGATTTTATTGTTTTATCTCCTGGAACAATGGAGAGTCCCTATTTCTATTTTATCCAGAGGATATTCTGCCATCTGAGTGTAATACAGCTTCTCCTTTGCTTGTGTTATTAAGAGAATCACAGTGATTCTGTTCTTACTCTCTGAAGGCACATATTTCATGAGCCTCATTTAGTCCTCATAGGGTTCAATAGCAAGAGTGAAATGTAATTGCATGTGGGAATGTGAGCAGCTACTGTAATAAAAAACAATTTCAGTTTTTAAATGACACCTGAAATAACAAAATCTCAGTTGATTCAGGATATTTGTTCTGACTCCGAAAAGAGAGGTTCAGTATGATTATGGACTTGTAGAAGAGTGTACTGACTAAGAGGATAGGCCTCAGAGTCAGACTTCCTGGGTTCAAATTCTGGATCTACCATTTACTTTTTCAGGTAACAGTGGAATGGCTAACCTTTCAAGACTTTAGTTTTCTCATATGTAAAAATGGGATCAGTCATCAACCTTTCTTATAGGGCTGTTGAGAAGCTTAAATGTGGCAATTGATATAAAGCTTTGAAACAATGCGTGATACATAGAAGGTGGTCAATAAATTTATTATTGTTTCAGTGCAATGAAAGCAGACTTTGTGGGAGTGCTCTTTGGAAATATTTGTATTAATTACACATACAAATAAAGTTTATGAATGAACTGAAAATCTTAAGATGCTTATAAATGTGAAATGGTATTATTATATTTGTGTAATAAGTTTTTAAAGAATTTTTGTGAAATGCAGATTCTTACATTGTTTCTTTCCATGTTTGACAAACAGTAGTCTCCCCTATTTAAAGTATTTAGAAAGATTTATAGCCTTCTTTTATCAGTAATATTTTAAATACCATTTCATTTTATATATGGAGAGGCTTGAAAATGTTTTATTTTGCAGATTGTTGTGGATCACCCATCTGCTACTGCTTATACTATTTCCCAGTGTTTTTTCAAGGTTCTTTTTCTTGCTGCATCTGGAGGTATGGGTAGCAAGAAACTAAGACGAGTGGGTTTATCACAAGAGCTGTGTGACCGTCTGAACAGACATCAGATCGTTACCTGTCAGGTACAATTTAATTTTTCTCAGTGAGAAAACTTAAGTGCAAATTAATCTTAAGTGTACCTAAATAACTCTTTTCTTTAAAAAATTTTGCTTAAAGTTTTAGAAAACGTGTTTATTTTTGTTGGAGGATAATTGCTTTAAAATATTGTTTTGGTTTCTGACATACATCAACATGAATCAGCCGTAGGTATACATATGTCCCCTTCTTCTTGAACCTCCCTCCCAATAACTCTTAATTGCATCTGAAATATGAACGTTTAGGTTTATAAAAAAAAAATAAAAGATGGTGCTTGCTAATTCAAAATAAGAAACCTCTTAGCTTGTATTTCCAAATGTGATTTCATTTCAAGAGTTTTACATTTTGGTTAGGGCTGGGTCAGGAAGATGCTAATGGCAGAAGGTGAAATACACCTGGCCATTTATTTGGGATTCTAGAGAAGTTTTGTCCTTGTAAAAGAAATTCTGTAGTTACATGGGAAATATGACTCAAATGAGGAGACAGTATTCAAAATGGGTAATTTCTCTTGAAAGCAAGAAAAATTTTTAGGATTATTTTTCTATCAGTGGAGTGAGAAAAATATATAAAGTGGATGTTGTATATTTAA